GTTCTCATGACATAACAGTCCATCTAGTAGTTGAGATCAACGGTGCTAGGAAACACTATTGAAAAAGGATTGGCGGCCGTTGTGCAAAATCGGCATTAAAGTGCCTCATACGCGGGCAGCAAAACAAACAGTCAGCCACCACGACGCCAGCGGCAGGACAGCACAGACATTCACGTCCCGTCCCGATCAACGTTTTTTTTTCTTCCTCCGAAGGTGTGTGTGGTAACTGGGAGCTAAGACTGTGGCTGCTCCCTTGGTTTGGTTCCTTGGCAAGAGGGAAGTTCGGATCCGAAAGAATTTTCCGTAGGGCGTGGAACAATTGAAAATTGTTCGATGTCAGCGTGCCCGAGTCACGAAGAGGACCCTTTCCTCCTTTTTCAAGTGGTTCCCTCGTGCCCGGATCGCCTCCCTCTCCTGATCATTCTCCAGTCTCCGTGGACGTCCCAAAGCCAAAATTTCTCGTCTCCGCATATGCCCGAGAAGGCTGGCCGGCTGGGTACGGATACGGTTCCGGGGGAGTTTGGGGTTAGAGACTTGAAGCGTATTCTTCAGAAATTCAAGTCACGAACGATTGTTTCTTGCTGTGCCGCTTTGCGCTCGAGCACACACGCTCACCTGAAAAGCGGGATGGCGCTGAGAACTTCTGGAACTTATTTCTCATCGGTGGGGGGGCTTGAAGACATGGTTACAACTTGCATGGATGTGCAGGCACACTCTGCAGGCCAAGTCGGCATATCAGACCCACGTGGTCGGAATGTGGCACAGCAACTTGAACTCTCAAAGTCTCAGTCGACTTCGTTTTGACGAGGTCTTGGCTCGATAACAGAAGGTTTCTTGGTCGATACAACACTTCAGGACCATCCAGCACATCGCTGGCGAGTAGCTAATTGCAAACACGACCCTATACGTGGAAACAAGTTTGCTTCAGGGAGAAACCTTTGCTTGATGAGACAACCTGCTTTTATAAGGATAGCATGTCGATACCAGAGTCCAGAGCTTTACCGCACATGGCAAATTGCCCGAACCAGCGTGTCTCGGACAGGGATATCCTCGCATGTCACATTCATCACTGACTTGTCATCGCGACACGGACCAAGTCTGGCCACAATGCGGTTGCGTGGTCCACTCCTTGGTCCATGAATTTTGATAATTGCGTAAATTCGAGTTCAAGCTAGCCCGCCAAGTTGTCGAAATCTCCCGCTGTCACCTCTGCCACTGTGGCATTTTAGCCCCCGATGTGATATATCATACGCGGTAACGCCATGTGACATAAAGGACCTCCTCGGGTTTGGCTTAGACTGCGGCTCATTTCTCTTCCTCGGATGGGTTCCGTGCTCGGGATTCAACTTCCACAACAATATGGAAGAATCCACGGGCAGCGGTTCCCACAATACGGGCTTTACGACATATGGCAGTATGGCAGACTGTCAGGGGAACCAACAACTGGTTCTCTTATGAAAGACCATCATCCCTGGATCTGCGCTAATTAGTGCCGCGTACAATGCCCGTACGCGTGCATAGCATGCGTGTACTACAGGAACTCCGTATATGCGTCCAACAAGGGGGACGGCCAGCAGGGAACGGGGGCCGCCGACGACCACGTCTCTTCTAAATTCCCAGGTCTGGCGAGGAAGCCCAGACGCTTCTCCGGCCGGTGGCTCAGCGAAAGTTCGAGGTGACTGGTCGCAAACCTGGTGCGTTTTGCAAGATGCAGGCATGGATACGTTCATCTCCAGAAAGCACTCCTGAAATGCAACATCGGCACACGTTCCGGCGGGGGGGAGGAAGGAAACTCTGTGGCTCTGCTGCTCCAACGGCCCTCGTACGGAGTTTGACCCCGTATGTGTTCCCAACTTCCTCGTGGCTCCCCCGAGCTTCTCGCAAACGTGCAGTGCACGAGGCAAGAGGGGGACGTTACCTTGTAGACGATCCGAGGGACAAGGCCCGGAGGACAAGCCCTCAGAGTCCACCCACCTCACACATCCGGCCTAGAACCTCTCACAAAGTTCGTGCTTGCAGCCCGGCTTGGCCGTTACTTCAAGTGTGATATCTTTTACCTGCTCCGACAGGGGATGCCTTCTGGCCCAGATGCTCGGTACCGGAACAGGATACCCAATCCATAAGGTTGGGCCTATGTGGAAAAAGGCAAATGTGAAAAGGGAGAGAAGCCAGAAAGGAAGAGCATATTATTTGTATATTGATACTCCCTCCACTCTTCCCCCTCCCCTCTTGGCACGAACGTTACTAGCTGAAAGGCCTAGTCTAATGATGTTATGAACGACGAGCTCCTGTCCAGATAAAGCGGTGTAAAGCCAGTCGGCTCCGCCACCTCTGTCCACTCGTCCCTTTCCTCCTAGTCTCCTACCTAGGCTCGTCGGTTAGATCGGCAACGTCCTTCCCGTCTTACCACATCCCGTCGAACGACGTTCGCCCGCAGACCATCAGCCTTACGTCTGTCTGGGCTTGACTTCACCGCGTTCACCGACCGGGTTTCGAAGGAGGTTATTCGCAACAGTTCAGCCCACGATGAGCGAGTCGTGGACCTACAACACACCGCCGGGGACACCATCCACGGGTCCCCAGATCACGGCCATCGCGTTGGTGTTTACTGCGCTGTCGTTGATCATCATGATGCTGCGGTTATACGTCCGTGTGATCATGCTCAAGGCCGCTGGTTCGGGTATGTTTACAACTTGGATGATTTGACCCTTGGACAGAGCACTAACTTGTCGGCGATAGATGACTGGGTCATTTTTGCAACGTGGTTTGCGGCTGCCGGATTCGCAATCGTCAGCACTATTCGTACGATGGTCTCCAATCTTCACCACTCGTTTTGCGTCTAACAACCACCCGCAGAAACAAAATGGGGCTTGGGTCTCGAGAAGCTGGAGGACATGCCAGCGCAGAATCTCTACAACTTTGGTCTTCTGCAATACGCCGGCGCTCCTTTGTAAGTGCTCAAATCCTTGGGAAATATCCGTCAAGATATAATCAGAACTAACATCCAGTTCAGCTACATCAGCAGTATTCTCGGATTCAAGATCAGCTTGCTTCTCTCATATCTCCGCTTCATTCCGAAGGGTCCCTATAGGTGGGCAACTTTCGTCACCATCGGTCTCTGCGTCACGTATCACGTTGCCTTCCTGCTGGTGCAAATAAATCTGTGCACGCCTGTAAGTTTATCCATCTCTTGTCCCAAGACAGAACGGATATTGACAAAGAACAGATCGCGAAGCAATGGGACCCTACGATCACCAATGGCTCCTGCATTCCCGGAGTTCCCTTCTACACCAGCATGGCGTCTCTTACGATCGCGTTTGATGTCATTGTGTATGTTCCCCAAATCAAACATGTCTCTAAAATTCCAGCTGACAGTCCTTTTTTTTCAGTATGTTCCTCCCGTTCCCCGTCCTCGCATCCTCCAAGATCCAAAAGCGCAAGAAGTTCGTTCTCCTTGGCCTCTTCGGCCTCGGCGCCTTCATCACCGTCATCCAAATCATCCGAATCCAGACCGTCCACGCCCTCGCAAACTACCTCGACTCCTCGCCCCTCATCATGTGGTCCGCCATCGAGAACAACCTCGGTATCATCGTCTGCTGCATCCCGACCCTCGCGCCCCTCGTCAAATACTTCAACGAAAAGAGCAGGTCTGGGAGCCGAAGCAACAAATACGGTGCCGCGAGCGGCTATGGAAAGACGGGCCAGAGCGGCAATGTCGGAAGCAGGTACGCGCTGCAGAGCTGGCGGCCAGGGATGAGCGGTATGCAGCCGCTCGGCAGCGGGATCGACCACAGCGACCGGGATATTGGGGTGCAGAGCTCAAGGATAGGGAAGGGGTCGGATGACGGCAGTGCCGATTATCATCTTGATGCGCCGGTTATTGTGAAGAAGACGGAGTTTGTGGTTACGAGCAACCCCAGAGAGCCAGGGGAGGCTGTTTGAAGGAGATCCGGGAGCGGAAAATCATTAACGACTTGGTATATTGATGATGGCTGGGTATTTATCTACATGGTACAAATAATTCGTATGAATCTACAGGGATCAGGTACCATAGGCCGTGTGTTCCCCAGTTTATGAGTGTATTTCCTCAACATTCCGAGTCCCGCGACGCCCAGACCCGCATGAGGTTGATGGAGTAGTTCCCTATCCGATTCCCATATCGTACGCTAACGATGTGGTATTGGTGCCATCGAAACGTCTCAAGAGAGAGTCAACTCTATTTATCGGCCCCTGTGGCAAGTCGAACTCGCGCTGCCTAACACACCTATGGAGGTAGCATCCCCATCGATTAGCCAGAAGCTTCTGGTTGCCTAGCCACCAGGGCCCCAGTAACTTGACATTTTGCATTGTTCACGACTATGGGGACAGGCATTCGCTGCGTCACTCCTGTATTCCTACGTTTGACAAGAATAGAGTTTGAGGTCGACTAGGTTGGCAAGTCATCCAGTCGATTGAGAAGGTTTGCCATCACAGACTTGTCAGCGGACCGACCCGAGCTGAGCAAAAGCAAAAGGCAAATCGAGTGGGAATGCAACTATCAGCTTGACTCTCATGTTATTCAATCAAAGCCCTTCTTCACAAGAAAAGCCTTCCATTGTGATGAAATTCAAAGGCTTTGTAGGATGCGCATCGAAAACGGCTGGAAGCGCAGCACCGAAGTCAGCGAAGTCAGAAAAATAAATCGAGGGTTCAATCCGGGATCTCACTACGGTGTAGAGACAAGGAACTCTAGCAACAAAGAGCATATCGTCCTTGCTTCTCATCCTTACGTTTCTGAAGCTTTGACCTTGTAAACACATTCAGATGAGCACGGAGCAGGGTGAAGTGAAAGCCAAGTTCTTGTTGCACTAATATCTGCCTTAGTTCGGCAATACACAGCTCTTCTCATCCGAAAAGGGAAGTCAACGGCATCAATCCAGAAGTCGGCTTTCCTCCACCGCCGCCGTCCTTAGTCCCTTCCGATCCCAAATTGAGCAGTAAGTATACACGAAAGAAGCCTCCTAATAAGAAGGGCTAAAGGGGTCAGGAACTCTAGAGTCGGAGCCGGGGCTGAAGGCCTCTCTCTTAACATGAAGGCGAGCACTGCCCAAGCCACCCATACCACCACCCTCGATACCAAGGCTTCCGTTGCCCTGCACCTGGCTCTGGAGCGTCTCGTAACCTCTGGGAGTAGCTCCATCCTGGCCGGCAAAGAGACCGCCAGCAGAAGAGGTGACAGAGTCATGACGCTGATGAGTAGGGCGAAGCTGAGTCTGGAAGTCACCCACGGTACCCAAGTGACCACCACCGCCGCCGACACCACCAGTACCGCCAGTACTATGGACACCAGCAACACCACCAGTATCTCCAGCACCTCCAGCAAGGACACCAGCGGTACCGCCTCCGCCGGTAAGGCTGTTAAGGCGAGTAAGATCGTTGCCGATGCCTCCGATGGCGACTCTTCCGCCTCCGCCAGTATTCTTCTGAATGCGGCCACCCAGGGTGTGACGGAGAAGACCGAGGTCTCCTTTCATAATGTCCTTCAGCTCGCGGACCTTCTTTCGGATCTCCTTACTCTTATCCTTATCATGCATCGCATCAGCGAAGGACTCAAGGTTGGCCATAGTGTCGCTGACAACGGTGTTCTGAGCCCGAGTATCCTGGAACTCGTCATCCTCGTAAAGGGCATGCTGGGCCTGGACGTTGTTGCCCCAGTGGCACATGGCGGAGTTCTGGTGGACGATGAGGTGGCGGAAGACCTCGGTCGGGTACTTGCCGCCGTTGAGGGCGACAGCGGTGAGAACGTCGCGCTGGCTGAGGTCGCGGTTGTTCTTGAGCTTCTCAAGGATCTTCTTGTAGAGTACATGGTCGTTGAGAGTCTGACGCCAGAAGCTAGTATCGATGTCCTCGAGGATGATCTCCAAGAGTTGGGAGTCAACCTTGTTGATGAGAGTCTTGATGAACTTGCGGGCATCAGAGAGGTTATCGCGGTACCACTCCTGATTGGCCGCGAGAACCGCCTTGTCGACCCAGGCGGCAGTGTTGCAGCGGATGAAGAGGTCCTTCAGGACCTTGTTGTACTCACCGTCATAGTTGACGGCGACGATGGCCTCAAGGGCGAGAAAGTCGACGAGATCGGGACGACGTTCGCGCTCGGGGACGTTCTTGTCCTTGAGCGAGTTGCAGAGGGACTGGTAGATGGTGTTGTCCGAGATGCAACGACGAAAGGCGTTGGAGTCGATGCGAGACTCGATGCGGCCCAGAAGAGCCGGAGTGAAGGTCGCGTTCTCGCGAATCTTGCTCTTGGCCTCCGTGATGCGTCTGGCGCGCTCTTCGGCCGAGATGACGGTGGTACCGCGGTCGCGCGAGCGGGAAGACATGATGGTTGAGTCGATGGAGAGATGAGCGACTAGAGGTTGATAGTGTGTGAGGGATGTCTTTGTTTGCGGACGAATCTGCGTCAAAAGAAGTCAGAACCACCTTCGAGGCTTAAAAGAAAACAATTAAATTACCTACCGCAATATTCAGCTTGTTGTGGAAGCTCTCACAGCGCGCGTTGTTGTGATACGATAGCGATGAGGGCAGCAATGTTCATGCCACTTGACTATATCTCGCCGGTCAGTGGTGTATCAGAGCGAGATACACAAGCGACTGGGTGAGATTGAGAAGCTTGAAGAATGGACGAGCCGAATCTCGAGAGTGATGGGTGAGGAAAAGACAAGAAAAAATAAGAAGAAGGGTGAGGGTGAGGGTGAAGGTGAGCACGAGGGAGGGCGAAGGAGGACGAGAGGGTGGGGCGCGGTCGTGGTGGAAGGTGAAAATAAAAACAATGGCCACACCTCGAGGCAGGAAGGAGCGACTGGACTCAGGCTAATGAAGATTTTTTCACTGATAGAATGTGGGAAAATCGCATTCATTTGCAGTGGGTGTATTTTGAGAGGAGGGAGAGACCAAGTGATGAGAAAAGTGAGGGCTTACCTAAATTGTGGTTTGTGGGAGTGGCTGACTTGAGATGCGGTGATGAAGAAAATAAAATACTCAGGAAGGGCTTCAATTCCTGAGGATATTTCCATCAGTGGGTCCCTCTACGCATCTACCTAGGCAGGTATTGGCATCCTCACCTTCCCGTCCTGCCTCTCTCTATCTCTATCCGACGTATTCGTCTTTTTGCCGGAAGTGAGAGGCCCTGAGGAACCAGGACGCCGAGCATGGCCGCATACTGAGCCGCGGTCATACACCAAGTCATTAGCCTATAAGCTGAAGAGCGTTCTCAGTTAAGAATATCATATTATGGATATGATTGGGGCACAGAACAGCTGATTGTTGGGAACATCCTGCCCAAGTCAAGCTCAAGAAAAGAGATTCTGTTGCTACAAACAGGCGTGAGAGACCCCAAGCGTCACTTTGACCATGCTTCATGCAAAGGCAAGAACATTGTATTGACTATTTTTGATTTTTGCTATGCACCACAGTAGACGGCCGCCACCCGGTCTGGGATCCTCGGCGTGTTCCCATGTCTGTCATCAAGTCATGGTCTCATAACAAAGCCACTTCAATAAAGCATGCGCCTTCCAATGTTCCTTGACAATCTTACCATCTTCAGTGGTATGTAACAATGAACAAACCTGCCTTTCCCCGAGTAACAACAATGACATAAACTAGAACACTGAAATCAAGATGACAGAGGGCTGATACCGAGGACCTTCATACCATTCTCAAAGACCTGTCTTGCATTCTCATACAGCACCGCTCGTGCAAGGTCAAGTGCCGGGTCATCGGTAGTCTCTTCTTCCTCGTCTTCATCCTCACCCTCGTCGTCATCAAGACAAATCACCAACTGCTCGGCCAGCCGATACAGGAATGTCAATACAGCTGAGGGTTCGAGCGTCTTGTATGCGGCGTTGACAACATCAGGGTACTGTGCCATGAGTCTCAATAGGTTCGTGTACTCTTCCTCCTCGAGATGCTTATAGTCGACCTCTCCGAGAGCAGTCGGATCAGCGCCAAGCTCCTTGATGGTCAGGCAAAGTCGAGTGTAATGCAGCTGAAGAGCAGCGCCTGTCTCGCCCTCGAACTCAGTCATCTTCTTGCTATCGAATGCGTAGCCATTGCTGCGCTTGGTGTGCATATCTTGCGCAAGAAGTGATGTGATGCCGAAAGGCTCTGCGGCGGCAAGAGGGGCTCCGGTGTTCTGCTCCATCGCCATGGCGTCTTTGACGGCGTTGGCGCATTGGTTCAGCATGTCTCCCAATAGGTGGGCGTTGCCTAGCTGGGATGACAAGCCCTGGACCTTGCCAAAGTTGACGTGTTGGATCTTCTTGGCAAGATCCTCCCTCCCCATAAGCTCGAGCGCTTTTATCACGCCGCGGAAGTGAGAGTCTTGTTCAGATGCGACGACGTAGATCATCTTGTCGAAAGAAAACTTCTTCTCACGGTCGAGGACTGCGGCCAGGTCGCGAGAGAAATACATGGTTGTGCCGGTGCGGTTCCGGATCATACCAGTGCCGAGACCTTTTGCGCCATGCTTTTTAAAGTCGATGAGCCACGAACCATCACTCTCTTCAGAGATTCCCTTCTCCTTCAGGATTGTTTCGACTTCGGCAATCGAATCCGACGTGACCTGAGACTCGCCGGCATATTCATCGAACTTGATGCCGAGACGAGCGTATGCTTTGGTGTAGTCTTCGACATAGACGTTGCGGAACCTTGTGGTCAAAGCTAGCGCATCGGCATCTCCTTCCTCCCACTTCTTAGAGAAGGCATCGCGTTCGGCGTAGATGCCTTGTGATTCGATCTCTGCTGTGTTTTTTCCTTCATCTTTGGCCTTCGTGCTAGCTTCTTGCTCAGGCTTGAATAGCTCGTTGATCTGATTGTGGACATCGAGAAGGTGACGAATGGGATCTTTGGCAAAAGCCTCCTCAGAGCCGAACTTGTTCCAGCCGACGGCGAGAAGGGCAATGTTCTTACCCCAGTCACCCAAGAAGTTGAGTCGGCCTACCTCCCAGCCCATCCGCTCATGTAAGTTGGCAATGGAAGCGCCATTAATTGTGCTGCGAAGGTGTCTGCCTTCGAATTCTTGCGCGATGTTGGGTGATGAAAACTCGACGATGACCTTCTTGCGCCCGGAGTCCGGAGACGAATGATCTCGCAGGCCACATGAATCATCCCCACCATATAGTTCCTTGCGGTCGGCAATGAAAGGTAATAAGAGCCTGGGCAGGAAAAATGGGTGAGAAAATATGCGAATGTGGACACCGTCGACAAAAGGGAACGTGTATAATGGGGACTTGGGGAACTGCGTTAAATGATGTGAGCAATGTGCATAACGAGAGCTAGCTATTCAAAACAATACTTACCTTGTCAAGTAGCGCGGCTGCAGCATCCCCATTTGCCTTTATCTTGAGTCGTGGCAGGATAATAGCGAGGTCACCCATGGAGATGGCGGCCGTCGACTGAATAGCCTCATAGGCAACCGCTGAGTCGCATTCTACAACCTCAGCCACGATTTGAGCTATGTAAGACCGAAAGATGTCGAGCGGGCGCACCAGCACCTCAGCAACAGGGAACGAAGGAAGGGGAGTATCGAGGCTGAGCTTCTCCAGCGAGGACTGAAGACCGCTAATTGAAAGAGTCGCCATGCTGTGTCTGTGAGTTCGGTGGGTGAGAAATGAAGAAGAGAAAAAGGAATGGGTCACAAATTCCGTAAGATTCTTGGGTCTTTCTTCAACGGAGGCTGATGTTTACAGCAGTGTGGTGTGGTCCGTTGGGCACGAAGAGCTGCATTCTAACGCGGCACGACGAGACTGGACTCGCTTGCAGCTTGCATCCGGCTTGGGTCTAATCATCCTGATGTTGCCTCTGGGTATTGGTTCTGATGACAGGGGCTAGTTCTCACGAACGCCCTCATAGGTCGCCCTACTTTCATTCCGCATAAAGTTACCAATACCCTGCAAATTTCAACCCCTTATCGTAATTGAGTGTTTTCGCTAGCTTACGTTGTTTGAATCACGTGTTTTCAATATCATGATAGTGGAATTAACTAAAGGGTTTGGTTTAAGTCCATTGGAATCATTTTCAAAAGCAACGACACTCTCCCAGCTCGCGTAAAGGTTGAAGACCTACAGAAAATGGTTCTGTGATGCTGATTTGCATACATTCCAATTCTAACGCCATCAAACCAGAGTGTGAGAATTCCATACGTTAGCGGCTTCTGCGGCATTGACCTGAAAAGTGGTAACGCCGACGACTGAAAGGACTGTAAGAACTGCAGAAATTGACATTCCACTCTGAACATCACTGCATAGTGACCATGCTATCCCAAAAAGTAATGAAAATAGAACCAGAAGAAAACGCATGACCTCCAAACGACGGCGGTCCAGTCCCACCTCAACCTCGAGCCCAAAACCTAAGCAGGATTGCTTGTCTGACCGTGTAAAAAGGGGCCCGTCCAATTTGTGTACAATCCTATCTAGAACCTTCCGGACTGCTTTTTTAGCAGTGAGAGATTGATTATAGTATTGAATCAGGCGGCGAGATGACACCAGTTCGAACTCGGAGCTCGAAACTGGCCTATAAATGGCGGAGGAGGATGGTGGTGGGAGTTGGTTTCGGCCTCTGATTTCAACCGTCCCATCAGGAAATACTTCAAACTGCGAGACCTCAATCAGTTAGATAATCAAAGGCTTTGAGCTGAGGGCTTTACCTTGACGTAATGCATCCCGATAGGTTGCCTAAGCTTGACGTAGCATAGTAGACCATCCCACGTGAATTTCAGTCGCTTCTTGAGAATGTTCCTCAAGGCTTCGAAAAATGTCTTATCATCTTGGCATGCCTCAGATGATATCACCTCCAAGGCTGGGTAGCTATCGCATTCGACTGGAATGCAAAGAGGTATGTATGCATTTTCAATGTCGTCCTGCTCAGGTGTCGGTTCCTTCGCAGGGTTGCTGCTTGAACGATTTGACGCTTTTCTGGTCTTTATCAATTTCAGTTGATGCCTTCTTCCACCAAACTTGACTGATATGTGCGGCACTCTCCCTGCCCCAGGGCCTGGGCGGTTGACTCCCTCTGTTGTAGCGCTTCCAGACCGCTGTTCGACTAGCTCATTGCTGTCCGAAAAGCATCGACCAAAGATCATGTCGAGCTTTTGCGATAAAACCCTTATCCATTGGCCACCTGGTTCGCTTTGGAAGTCCCTGAAAGCCGGGTCCTGGGGTAAATCCTCTGGCGAGTGCAGACGGCCTGACCCGGCCAAACTGGCTGCAAGCAAGAAGCTTGCGTATATCATCAAAGCAATGGGAATAGCCACTACCAATAACAGCAGACACTTGCTCAAAGTCTCCATGCTGGTAAGATGGGATGATAATCCGGCTATGATGAACAAGATACCAAAGTTCCAGTTACCTTCTCCATTGACATGAACACCTCCTAACGAGTATATTCCGCGATCATTGGCGGCGACAACAGACTGCGTCTTCTTGATGATTTGTGCGTTAGTTTAGATGCAGCGTGTGGATATTCACTTGAAGAGGTTTTGCTGGCGGGGACCTACCCTAGTGGTACCGTGTTGTCCTTCCGGATCTATGCCTATCCGCAAAGCCTCGCGTGAATTTGTGTAATCCGACTTAGGATGCCTGGGGGTTCCATCCAGAGACCACACCTTAATTCGAGTTTCTCGGAATCCTACCGACTCTTTCAATAATCCACTGCAGGAATCTTGCAGACTTCCAAGCCTGATCTCGAGTTGCCGAAGTATGTTGATATTTCTCCGGATCTCAGCAAGGTAAGGGTAATTATCGGATACCTCCTCTAATCGGACATCGGCGGTGAGGAAAAAGTTGATGTCTGCAGCCATGAATGCGTCGCCAGCTCTGACAGTTTCTTTGATGGTCTGGTTCAGATCGTCCAGGAGGTTTTTCAGATGGGAAATGCCCTCTTCCCAATCTTCGCTTCTTTGAGAGACCGAATCCCAATCTGTATGAGAACAAGACAATGCTAGTAAATCGTAGCTATCACGAAGATACCCTCGATGGAGTTTCACCTAGATTAATAATTATGCCACAGATACATCATTTCATGCTTAAGAGGTAATACATACCATTCCTTGTACTCTTTTGGTCAAGTTGTCGATTATCAAGTCCCACTCCCGAAGTACCTGCCTGAGACGTAATTCAAGAACACGCAAGAAGTACTGGCGAGGTAGCCAGGAGCTCATCGATGCTTCTTGCTTCCCACGGTTCAGTGGATCAAGGATGCACCCGCCATTTACATCGCTCTCGTAACAACTGATCATGTCTGGTGACGGACTGTCGAGCGCTGCCTCAAACCAAGATTCGAGGAATCCGACACCCGTCCATCTAGCCTCATCGTGGCCAGTGACCATGACACTCATGTGCGATGAATATATGCCGTCGACGAGGTCGGCATCCTCGTAGCTTCCAGCTAGCTTACGCAGAAATGTTACATCTCGAGACGCTCGCAGTGGCTCATTTTCTGTCGTTTTGACTCTACTATCCTTCGCTAAGGTTTTCGTTGAGCGCCAGACGGGATAGGGGATTGAGAATTCGAGGCAGAAGGTTTCTGGGCCTTCAGTCTGATTTGTTTTAGATACCAAATCAAATCGAAAGAATAGTGTGAAGATTGACTAACTGCGAATCTAACGTCGATAGACGTTTTTGATTGAACATAGTTCACCATGAAACTACCTAAGACCCGACAAAGAGATTCGGGAGACGAGCCGACAAGAGCAAGTATGCTCCAGGCAGACAGATCAACGACATATCTGAAATATGACCATGCGTAATTAGTCGATAGGGTTATCAAGCTTATAAAAGACTTGGTTTATCACTGTCATACAATAGCCTTCGATCAGCGTCCACGAAGTCGACTTCTTTTGTTAATGCTGCAACAGATGATTGTGGCACACAGTAACGCTTTCAGAAATCAGTCCATGAGAAACACTCAAGGTTCAGTGTGTCACAAACCTGCTGACATAGATATTTCAACAATTCAGCTGCCGTTAGGCCCCCTTGGAACGAGCGGAGGCAAGGATTGCCCGTTGATATATTGCCGTCAATAACGATTGCAATTTCGTTGCGAGGTACAAGGGCAGCACCATTCTCCAGCAATTGGAGGCTCTCGCCATGGAACAGATCAAGAATCGTATTCAGGCGGTGGGTGTCTGCTGTCCAATTATCTTCGATTTGAAGGAAGAACGCAATGTCGTTGCGTTGTGTGTCTTTGTCGGGACGTTCTCTTGCTCCAAAGTTGGCACAGATCCAGGGTGAGTTTTCCCATTCGTAGCTTATTAGCTGACGTTTGAAGAATCTTGGCGGCCACTGAAATGCCTTGAGAAGACCTGTTTCATCGGTATCTGCCAACCTTAATCGAGAAGATTTGTGGATCATTTCCGACGGCGTCGTGTTCTGTTCGACACCCATGGCGGTCTGATGTCCCGTATCCAGGTAGCCTGATGCTTGGAGGCGTCAAGAATTTGTAACAAAGGTTGTACTATGTTGTTGGTCAGTGTACTTGAAAAGTCTAGGAAGACGTACTTCTGAACAAGCGGCCTGTGTTTGCGACAGACTCATGTGCTACAAGAAATTGAAGATGTCTAGTAGACTTAAACACGCGTGCCGGGATGTTGCTCACCTGTTCTGTTTACGACAAGGCGAAGCGTTGCAATTTGAATTCCCAGTTTTAGAGTCGGCTATAACCGCGGAGACTGTTAGGATAACATAATCCTACGACGAGAAAAGGCTTGCCTGTGAGATGTTTCAGCTAGATGGCATAGGAGGGCCAATCTCTTCAAGGAGCGTCAGTCGAGCACCTAACACCTAATGATTCTGTAAAGAAAGGAGGTTAAAATCCCCTCAATCAGGGTGGACAGGAGTTAATATGAAGCGACATTCATTACCCAAGTAAGGCTCGGGGATTCACTAATGTGCCTACATCATCTTTCCCACCCTACCTTACATGTATGGTTTCGGTGCGGAGCGCCCCTTTCGAAACCCCGCACGACACGTAATAACTCTCAACACGTCTAATGACCCGTGAAGCTGATGTGGAATGCATTTACATGCAGTCTCAAGTATCTACTCGAGTGTGATACGCCACTTGGAGAGACAATGTGGCAGCCAACTCGGAGCACCCTCCTGCAGTAAGATTTCCAGCATACCTATGGCATTAATGCTACTGGACGACGAAACCCAAAATGTTCACCGAAATCGTGCCCGAAGTGTGTTCACGAGCCTGAGCTTTTTTTACACCAGTGCCGTAGGCTTTCGCCCTCGAATGCAGCAACACATCTCCGACATCATCACTGGGTCGCGTCTTCCGGCAAAGACATATCACAACCTGCAGGCTACAAGGCGCAAGCGAGGCTCTTTTGAATCTCAAGAATGTTATTCCAACCCCGAATGATGTCATGGTTTTCCATTACGCCTTGCTTGACATCCCCCATTGCATGCGAGACGCCCACTAAGTCAATTTCAATCACCTGTACAAAGCACCAAATTCAAGGAGCAGATACCAGGAAGTGCAAGAAACACGAAAGAAACACGAGAGCATTGCCGCTCTGAAAGTCCCTTTCACAAATACAAAACGGTAGAAGGAAGAAGAGGAAGAAGAGGAAACCTCACACCTGAAACTCAACCCTCATTGCCGTGTGAGCCCGGAGCATTCCTGTTCCTGAACCCGAAGTCATTCGCCTGTTGTCTGCTGCTCAGCCAGACTCAACTCAAGTATCGGTGCCGTCCTTGTGAAGGATGACTGATTGCTTTCATTGAGACTACTCAAGGGGAAGGGAAGCGATGTGCGAGGCGACGAGTCTAACGGCCTATGTCGAAGGTTCCCTCAAGACGCGTGCGACCAGATTCTAACTTTGCCGTTGATGGGAACTCGCGATGGAGAGTGAGTCGATGGAGCTGCCGGCTTTCAGCAGGCTTGCCGAAGTACCAGACTCTAAATCATCTTTCTGAGGCAAGAGGTTCGGGGCAGCTGTGACGAGTTGCTAAGATAGCAGCAGGGGGCTTGGAAAGGCCTGGTGCCATTGCCGCCGGTTGTCCCAACATACTTCGCCCCGGTAAGTCAAGAAGACCGATATCACCTCCGCGTCGTTTTTGGAAGTGCCCCATTCCGCTTGTACAAAAGGTGCTCCTTCGTGGTGGCAAGGGGTTGCTGATGTCGACGGGAGTCGCCACTTGTCGCTCTGGTGAGCCGTCGCCGGATCTCTCCGTAGGACTCTTGTCTCTGGTTTGGCCTTGAAACAAGCTAGCGCCCGAGTCAATCAGTTTGAGCAAAGACACAACGATAGATCCCATCGCCGCTACCATAAGGAAGAAACCGCAGAGGAAATAGTACCACGTGCGTGGGAAGGTGATGATTCCATCGCAGCTGAAAACCGCAGCAATGTTCAGGAGTGGTTGAGACATGATAGTTGTCCAAGACAAAACTCTCAGTTCCACTGGCTGAGTGATCCCGTTCATCTTCAGCTGCAGGACGAATTTCTTCCTCTCAGCGATACCATCCTCGATCATTGACTTGCAGATTCTCTGCAGGTCACCGAGTCTTTGATGGATCAGACTGAGATTGTTCAGTGTTCTCCGAATTTGGGATAAAGGGAGCAAGCAGTCCCAAACATCCCCAACACCGCCATCCCGATGGAGAAAGTAGTTCACATCGGTTTTCATAAAGATTGAAGCACTGCTGAGTGTTTCTTCGAGAACTTGGGCAAGGTCTCTTAGAAATGCATCAGCTTTGCTGACATTGGTCTCGAAGTCGTCAGCCTCTCTCTGAGCTTCTCGGCGAGCCGTGGAGCTATACGAGACTGACAACAGTTCTTTCAAGCGACGAAGAAGTTCCTCGTGTTTCTTTGGTGCTGCTTTGATGATCCTCTCAAGATGAACATACGTTGAATTCCATTCACCATATACGTGGTTGAGGCGTACCTCAAGCACACATATAAAGTAGTGGCGAGGCTCCCATTCGGACCTTGTCGCATCGTTTCTTCCTCGACAAAGTGGGTCGGATACTAGTCCATCCTGCAAGTCGTTTTCATAGCGCGCCATCATGTCTGGGGAAGGATCATCGAGCAAGTCTTCAAACCAGCTCTCAAGAAGGGCTAGTCCAGTCCACCGATGTTGGTCATAGCCCGTGACCATCGCACTCATATGGCTCGAGTAGATGACATCGGTGGGGAGAGCATCAAATCTTGCGTCACTGAGTCTGCGCAAGAATGTGATGTCTGTCGATGATCTGAGAGGTTCCTCATTGGAGGCATTCTTCCGATCGTCAATCTTCGGCTCGATTGTGGTTCGGAACGCTCGGACCGGAAGCGAAAGGTGAAGAAGAAATGTGTCTGGCCCTTGCGTAGCAAAGGATACACCAATGTTGCACCTGGCGAAGAGATAGTTGTGTATGAACTCGGTCACTTGCCTGTAGAGGGACTCTGGTGATGAACCGAGGAGAGCAAGAATGGCCCAGGCGTCAAGGTCAACCATGTAGATCAATCTGCGTTCCGCTTCGATGAAGTCATTTCCGTCAGCAGATGGGTCGTCGTCGGCATAGCGCGGTTTTATCGCTTCTCTTAAGAACTCTCTTGCTGAGAGGCTTCCGAGAAAGGGTCGAAAGACAGGATCACTGTCGATGTTGTTGCTATCAATAAGAAGGGCCACTTTTGTTTCCGGCACCCCATCATCACCTTTCTCCAATTGTCGTAATGTAGCGCCTCGAAGAATATCGGTGAGAGAATCGACTCGAAACTTGTCCGGAAACCAGTTCTCCTCAGTCCGCAAAGAGTGCACCAAGTCTTCTTCTTCAGGGTCTTCCAAGCTCTGTGCTACGTCTTCAACCCTAGCTTTCAGCCATGGGGCATTCTCCCAGTCCCTAGGCAGTATTCTTCTGACAAAAAATCGTTCGGGCCATGCGTATGCACCTGCTTGGTCGGCCTTATTCGGAACCCTCACATCCATCGGCTTCGGTAACTTAGTTGCCTGGGCCGACTTCATCCTAGCCGTCGCCGGTTGGTGTGGGTTGGGAAGGCTGGAAGCCTCTTCCGTTCGATGTAAAGCCATAGCCAATGCAACTTGTTTTTGGCCAAATGTGTCGTCCTTGTTTGTTCTGTCAACCCTGATCACTTCGGTCTCGATTTTTGATGGCGCCTTGCTCCACAAGTCTTTGAATTGAAAAAAGAGACAACAAATCGCCCAAACGTCACGAAAGAAAAACCTCGAAAGTACAATTAGAGCCCTTGCTTTTCCTTTTTTTTTCTTCCCGTGTCAGATGATCTATGGCTTGCAAATTGATTCTCGCTGCGTTCTTTCCGTAGAGCCCGTTGTATTTTAATGCAATATTGTCGAAAGTCCCAGTAGTCAGCGCTCTTCAGCGCTCTTCTGGGTTCACCGAATGAAACCCAAATTTTGATCGAATAATGAAGTCCTCCTCGTCTCCTCTTCTTAGGTATGGTTGTGATGGCTGTGTTGTTCGTAGGTAGTGTCGTGGTGTAAGTGCTGTCGAACGTGTAGTCTCTCCACTCGGCACCTTGAACACCTCGGATATCCGCAATTAACGCAAGGGTCGGTAACAACGTTCATGCCCCCTTGACCACAGTAACACTATCATCAATGTTAGCTACTAATTACTGTGAGTTTTGCAGGCCCGTGGTCGAGGGAAGTCTGCATGGTGATGGAGGGATTTCATATACGTACACAAGTCCACCGGAAGGCGTACTTTTTACGTGGCGGCTATTGGTGGGACGGCCCGTTAGTGGCTGAGAAGCTGATATGTGAGGAAGTTTATGGCATGGCAGGTGTTCCGAAAGATAGAGAGAATGATGATTGATGTACCATGATCCGGACGCCCAGGGGCTCCTCTTAAAGCCCTTCCTTGAAGGCGACCTGTCCACCGCTTTCTCCGACCCAACCCCCCCCACGACACCCGTTCTGCAGCGTCAATTGGGCTCGCTGGGCATGAGATACGTCTGCAGACCGAGTGACTGATCACGCGGAAAGTTCGCTTCCAAGACCAGGGCGGTCCGAATATGTTGGGTATCGAGGGCTGTAGACATTCGAGTGATGGTGTAGAGGCTTTCCTGGGGATTGGTCAGGCGTCCAGGTTGCCTGATTTCGAATAAAGCGACCAATTGGGTATTATAGAGAGAAATAGGGCCGCGTTCGGAGTCCAGCGGGTCACCAAGCTTCGAAGCGTGCGAATGTGTGCTACGAACACAAGAATTCTCGGGTGGTCGCGTTGCCATTCCAACAACGTGTTTGCGCCACTCATTTTTCCCCAACGTGGACAGGTGTTCATATTGGGACAACACGGTCACCTGACGAAGAGCCTCATTTGGCAGCCTGGCTGACATCCCTGTTCAGTGGTAGGTATTTACTTAACGAGTCGCATAGGTTTTATGATTGCTTTTGGGACGACTCGTGGAAATTGCACGATAGAGAAGCAAGCGAGCGCATAGTTCTGCACAAGTTGAGGTGTGGCCTGCCGTTTATAAGTTTGTTGCTGAAACCTGACCAGAACAGTGGCTTCGCGGCGGGTAAAGAGCTCAAACAAGCCAAAGGAAACCCGTTTCTGGCCACCTGCATTAATAGGCCAGGATATGGGAGAGAGCTGTGCCGACCAAATCCGCGTGTCGCAGTTCGACCAGAGACTGTGGATGTGTGACATCGTTAGGGAGCAGGGGCATTAGCGGCTGGCCAACTTGGACTCATGTCGCTGAGGTAATCTAAGATCATGTGATTCAGCGCAGAGAAAGCAGGCCAAGAGTCTACCCCTTTTCTCCAATGACTGAGGATTTGGAACAGCCTGGCAGATGCCATCCACACCTAAGGTAGGTTCGAATAATTTAGATAAGATCACATGCCTAGGTATCTCACTGACCTTGACCTGCAATCTCAACTTGGGCGCGCATTTACATGTTTGTCGAGACGGTTTCCGGCGTACGGCACCACCGACGGCTTGCGCGTGCCAATGGAGCAAGGTGATATGGAGCTAGTCCGCCCCAACATCACGATTACCACCATCACCGCCGCCGCATCGTGAACCCTTTCGCCCGGCATCGTGGCTCCAATAGACACGGTCGTCTCATGCTTCACGTATGAGTCTCACAGATGGGAGAATAGCATGTGGTTCGGGTACTATGACACAAACGAATGAGGAGTGGGTAAACCATCGGCCTAATTGTGCACTTTGACAAAGCAGGGCACAGAAGCTGCATCCGCACAACCTTGGCCCGTTGGTTGCCTTTCTGCTCCCAGCTGCCTCCTGACCATAGCCACCTTCACAACCCGAACCCACCCGAGTTTCTATTCTAGAAGCCGTCACGGATGGAGAACATAATGGTTGCCTGACACCCATCCCAAGATTTGCATGCCTCGAAATCTTGAGACCAATCGTGCTGGTAATCTCCCACAAGCTGTGGTGTCTCGGTATACAGCTACCAAACGCTGTCTATGGGTGCACTAGTCGCATCACTTGCAACATGCCACATCAGTGTCCGGTGTCTCAAACACACGAAAGATGCTGCGGACGTGCCGACATCGGCGACCGCTACCGCCGTGTACCACCATCATATGGATGGCTGCAACACCACAAACAGATCACGATCAAGGGATGCCGCCATGGGAAAGGCTTCATCTGAATGGCGATCTTGGCTGCTCAAACAGATTGCTTTCTTCACCGAACTTCTCGGCTCCCGCCAGTCGCGCGTCATACCCGTACATCGAGCCTATGAGCGGCTGCAGGATGAGCTCCGCCCTGAATGAGTGACGCACGCAGCAGCCTGAGCCCATGTGATCTTTTCCGAGCGGTGTTGTGCCTCGCTCAATGGCCAGTGTACTGTGTAGGGTTGCTGTCACGACACCGCCGCTGAATGGTCTAGAGGTGCTCCAGACTCCAGTCGCAAATTGAGCAGCCTCGACAGGATTTCCTCCAATCGGGCCAACCAACTGATCCGAGCAGCTTGACAAAAGGGTCAGAGAGTCGCCGTTCCCGTGGTCTGCAGCTAGCGTTGGTCAGCCAAGCACGGTCTGTCTTCTGCGTCGCTCCAGGACCAATACACTGTCTTCTGGAAGACTTCGCAATAACTTGAATGCTTTGAGAGTCTCATTCACGGATCGGCAAGAAATATTTACCATACTTAGACTTCAGGCGACGAATTCCCAAATCTAACCATCGCAATTTGTTCATGTCCCTGCCATTGACTTTGTTATCTTAGACTGTTGCACGCTATTCTGGCTGGTTGCTTGTGGTGTTCGGAAGGCCAGGGGCCCAATTGGTCAACAGGAGGATCGGTCGTACGGAGTAGAACAGCAGCAAATATCCGCGCGCCACCTCCTGGCCTCCTACCTCATTTAAAACAGCGTCGTACATCAAACATCGAGAGAGTGAAATTTCTGATCTCTACTCAAAATTGACGTTAGTCGCTCGATCCTACATTGATATCTACCTCAATGTAAGCCGAAAACTGAGGCGCTGCGGTGGCCAAAGACCCGCTCCGGGTAGTCACTCACTCCAACCCGACCTCCCGTACCCCGGCGTCCGGAGGCCCACCCGAAAGGCCTTGCCGCTAAGCCTGCATACCTAGGAAGCCCGCCTGGGGCGGAACTCAATGCAACATCAGATGTAGGCCAGCCCATCCTCTCCTCGAGTGATTCGTCTGCGCCTCCGCCCCCTTAAAGTTAATGGGCCAAAAAAGAAGAAGAAAATCCACATAATTACATGTCGCATAACTACTCTATTACAGCACTCGCTCAATGCTGTTAAACAATGCTGTTTTGAGATAAACCTCAGGATCTCAGGGTATCCTCGAGTGCTTCGGATTATCAAAGTCAGCGGATTCAGTACACCACATCTGCAATTGCCATTGCACTCACTTTCACAGCAGACGCGACTGAGCAATTTCATGACTGCGAGGCAGAATATCAATGGTAAACGACACCTCTCCTGACTACAGCGCTCGAAGGTTCAAAATAGACTCCAGAGTCTTCATGGTGGCAAGTCTGCGTCCTCAAGAGCCTGAATATTTGAAGGAAGATGCCAACTTTAATACAACACCCACAAGGCAATGCTCCTCAGTATAAGTACCCTTGATGTCAGTTTCTTCATTGTTCCTAAGGTGACTACATCATCCTTCTCGCGGAAATATCAAACACTATCTCTATCGCATCAACTGCCGGATGACGTTGGTCCTTAGATCCTCGGTTTCCTGCAACAATGATCCCTTTCCAAGTTTTTCTTGTTAGTATATCAGAAGGGTATGGGGCGGTATTTCTACGTGCTTAGTTACTATCCCTTAGCAAAGATGCGTACACATGTACCAACGCCACCCAGTAGTTGATGTGATATACGCCTGAGCAGATCCAGTAGAATTTTCTTGACCTCCAGCCTCCAACAAGCACTCTCCAACTCGATAGCTTGGTATTCAAGTGTTCGAAAATCGTAGATACAGGTGACAGCTGCGATTCGGAGAGAACCATTTTTATGTCTTTGTTGATTGGTCCCAGAATAGACATTTTTCATGTTGATTTCCACAGCTTCTGGGGTTCAGGGGTGGAGATCATTGGTAAATAGGTATTCAATGATCATCCTGACACGACTTAGAAGAGAGGTAGAGCAGAAAGGTACAATCATGGTTTCGTACAGTATTCTCATTTCCATCAAATGCCCGAACAGATTGGGTGCAACAACAGCAGTCCCAGAACTCGAGCCTGGCTTTAGAGCCTGATGCAAATTGAGGACCTTTACGTCTCATTAGCTCTCACGAGTATGACTCAGGCTGGTCGTCTACTCTGGTCGTTCACAGCCTACAGAGAATTGAACTTTTGTTATTAATCAGACAACCTCTCGCCACATCCTGACACAGTCTTCAGCCCGGCGAAAACTTCAGTGGAGCTAACGCAGATCATCAGAGAGTCTGGAGACCTTTCATATTGGCAACAAGTAAGGATGGTTGCCCCATGTCCCGTCTAGTTGGCCATGAGGTTGAGGAAGTGGATGACACTTGGTGACATGATTGAGTCCCTGCTTGAAGCGTTGTTTTTTGAATGGTCTGCGCCGACTTTTTACCGCTTTCTTGCTCGAAGGGTTTTGTTTGAAGTGGCCAAACCCGCTGAACAAGTTGACTCGTTAAGTTGTGAACTGAAACGCGCACGTATACATGTGAGTTGTCGATGTCACCCGGCCAGTGGCATACCCCAGACCACGATGAGCAACTTCTTCACTGTCAACACTGCTCTTTGCCCCCGGTGTCATAGGTGACTTGCAATGCTCTTGATTTTCAGGTACGCTTTAGTATAAAGACTCATAGAATCTTCATAAGATCTCATCCAGTCGAACCTCAAAGGCTCGAATAATCAAAGCACTAGCGAGGCAACCACATCATTGGGGTTGGAGCGAACATGGTGCAGTTTCCACCGAACAGAGGATCAGACAGGTCGACAGCACCATCCTGTTCCTACATATCTTGCAAATCATCTTCGTAGCGCTCGATATCATCGGCCATTAGCCAGCCAGATACTTCGACTTCATATTAGGTCTCGCTCAGGAAGGTACCTATCCAGCAAGTCTGATCTTATCTCGTAGCAATGCAATTGGTGTGGCTCACGTGAACAGCATCAATCTTATTATCATACTTATGTTTGAAAGTCTGCAAGAGAAAATACAAGGATTTAACGTCTCTTGCGGATCTCTGAGTGTCTCTATCAGAGTCTCAAGTCTGTTGGTTACGTACCAAGGTTGTTAACATCCATTAACGTACCTGAAGTAGTGAGGTTACGAAAGCCACATTGCAAACGTCTGAAAGCCCCTCTATTTAAGGTCGAATATGTCAACAAATGTAAGAATCATCTTTTGCGTACTTGATCTGCACATCATTATCAAGAAGCGAAATGTGATAGAAAGCCTTGGCAAGATGTATAGTCGAGCACTACATCGCGGAAGACTCTGTTGAGCGATTCTGGAGCAGATCCTGCGAGCTCAACAACAGCCTGACGACTGAGTCCAACTACGTAGTTGTATAATATTGCTAGCATTCTCATAGCCTCCTGTCCCATCGGCATCATCTTTCAATACCAAACTTGCTTCAAGTGTTATCCAGCGTCAATGCAGTAACATCCACTTCGGAAAAGTCTCCGCTCTTTTGAGCAGTACGACTGATGTGAATTGACTAACTACACATAGAATAAGACCTCACTCTGAGCACTTTGGGCCAAGACTCAAGTATGGACTGTTTCAACTCTCTTCTTACTGGAACTCTTTAAATAGACTGGATGCTGATAGGCGGCCGAAGTACTTACTGTCGATTGGTAGGGCATCATTACCCGTCAGAAAGTTGACGCGTTCGAAGTATGATCTTCTTCCAAAGGTTCTTGCTGAATCCGAGCCTCACTTGCGTCCTTTACGAGGGCCGTAACACAATGTGAGCTCTTCAACACCGCTGTTACCCAGGTAGGCTCATCCAGATTTCTGGGGAAGGTAATTATTGGAAGGAATCGGCGTAGTCAGGAGCATGTTTCAACTGTTGAATGACATGTTACTCTAACTCAGGACGCAGCCATCTTGTGGCGTGAGTGGTGGGAGACATCATCAAGCCGAAGCCGAGTGCATTATCACTGCTTCGGCGCATCCGGGCTTGCGTGCAGTTGGTCACCTGAAAAGAATGCCAAAAGATTATTCATTACGCAACAGCTGCAAAGGTCGTTGACCTCTAATCCTTGAGTCGTATGACCGAGTTCGCCGTGCTCACTACAAGAAGACGAGATACCCGAACGTGTACCGTTAAGTTGTTACCTTTCTACCCAATTCTCAAACGCCTGGACCCTGTATATCCCAATTCACACGCTTTGATAGTGCTTGATACCCAAAAATACTCGTTGTACAGACCGGCCGTAACAATCCGTAAACAAGCCGATTTAATCTATGCCCTTTTGGTAATTCCCAGTTGGTTGCAATATTTTTGTCCACGAACTTTCTTCTATGTCTTCCGTCTATGTCTTCCGTTTATGCTGTTGTATGATCGTGGCAATGGCCGAGGGACAAGTCGTGATGGTGGGCGCGGACTCTGGTCACAGCACACCGGGTGCAACGAGAGATTGTGCAAGTCGAACAAGAGGCAACTAAGACGCTGATACCGCCTTGACCACAGAAACACTATGACCGAGTAACAATGTTAGCATCATATGATGGGCACTGGGGTCAATCGCGTCTCTAAACCATTCTAGGATTCGGAGATTATGGCTTCGGCGCTAGGGGGATTACGTACGCACGTCCAAATGATTGTGAACGATTGCGGCTAGTAGCAAAAGGGACCGTCAGTAACTGGGCAGCCACGTTGTAGATAACCGTGTGAAACCAGAGGGACGTCTGGTCGGGACTCGAGGGCGGGAAGTAGTACCATTGTGTAGATCGATGCTCGCAAAGGCGCATGCAGTTGTCTGCTGTGGCCCTGTCTGTGGGCCTATGGAAAGTCTTTCTCTTCTACTGCTGGATCCCCGCGTCTTGTCTTCGAAGGCATTCGTTGGATACGTGTGCACGAGGGGGTGTGGTAAGATCGGAAGTGTTTAGGTGGGCGATAGAGTCAGCGGCGATTCAAGCCCACACGAACTCGACTGAGGGTACTAGAGACAGATTCAAAAGAAGGTGCAAAGGACGGCATTGCAAAGTTGACTGGCTGCGAGGCGGGCAAGCGGTTTTTGTACCTAGCGTATGGCAGGAAACACTCCAGCTGTCCGCCAAGGGGCGTGCAGGGAAATTGCACCGTGGTTGTTGGGAAAGGGTTGGCAACGGGGATCGTAGGGGCCGGAGAGGTCGGAGGGGTCGCCGCGGCGGCGGGTCTGATCGTGGACGGTTGTACAGAACCAACTGCGGACCTGCGTGGACCGATTGCGGTGGGTCCATTAGAACACCAAGGGTCCTGAACGGGACTCACGATGACGACACAAAACTCTCCCAAGCCCACCCACGGCGGCAATAGCACTACCCCCAGCTGAGAGACGGTCCAAATTTGAATCATTGCTTGAACTTCCATCAGCACCAAACCCATCAGAGCTCCGCATCGTGGTATAAGGTATTCGTCCATCTCTTGTAAAACGCCATTGATCAAAGTAGCCCTCTCGCTGCCGGCCCCGCGCCCGGCACGCGTCGAGGTAATGGCCAGCGTGTGGATCGGCGTTCTTGATTCATAGGGGCGTTTGGGAACACCGCGGAGTTGAGGGTGTGTCCAAACCTTCTGTCCAGAATCCGTATCGGCACTGGACGCAGCGCACTATTTAATCGACCATATCCTGTGTTTGCGATACGATGACGTCGAAATGTCGTGTTATGCGATGTGATGTCATTGGGTGGTATCAAGAGCTGATAGGGGCCATCTGCACCTTATCTTATCGCGATATTGGTCATCATACCTAAGGTACCTAGGTAGGTACCTATGGAGACCATTATCGCGATAAGAGACCTTATGGAGATCCTTATCGTGATAGGATAGGTACCTGTCTCTAAGCCGTTGGTTATCATTCCATCTTTCCATCTCTGGTTCTCACCAAAGCTGAAAGTGTGGTGTTCAGCTAAGAAATATTCGTCAAGCTCGTGCATGAGGCGGAAAATACACTGTGAGGACTGGAGCCAGGCTCGTAGTAATTGTTTTGCCAATCGAGGGTACCGCAACTAATTAGCTATCGAGCAGTAATAGAGGTAAAATACAGGTATGCGAACCCGACTTTCGCGTTGATAGACTGCGTATAAGATAACAAGTATTAGCATCCTCTTGATCTAAGAAATTCATTCCATCCAGTATGGCCAGAGCATCTTTGGACCAAATGAACCCAATTACCAAACCTGAATGGTCAACTTCGCCATAATTGCCATCGCTCTCACATACATAGATACAACCTGTCGCCCCACAAAGATTGTTGTTCTCTGACTCGTCTTCAGTCCTCGTTGTACGGCGGCTCAGCTTTCTCTGCAAGTGCCAAAAGGCCAAAGGTCGATAGCCAATCTTACGGATAACAAAATGACCGCCGCCATACACAGGCAAATGATAAAAGGAATCGTGCAGTATCTGGTTGTGGAACCGAGTTGGATGCCGCCGCCACGACTCGAAAGTGCGGCTATGCTGGCAAACGATTGATAAATCTGGCAAGAGGTTACACGGCAAATTCGACAGCTATACATGGCGGGGAATAGGGCATGTGGTAGAAGTGGTGAGCCTACAGTTGTGATACAAAGCGAAGTTCTGGTCTTAACAGACAGCCAGGAAATGTTGGGCATCGCAGGAAAAATCGGAGACGTTGAAGCAACGGAGACTTGGTGATTGACCAAATTAATGCGGCAAAGGAACTTTAAACATCATCAGCATGTGTTTCGTTCAGCCATTGCATCCTCCTGTTCCAGTCAGATGAGAGAGGTATCACCATGTCCTTTGCAGCCGAGCTGTCCTTGATCATTTCTTCATATCGGGTCTGGAGGACCCCAAACCTTTGGCGCAGTCGTCGAAGATCGGTAGTTATCCTTCGTATTTGCGACAAATCAGAATAGCAGCTTGATCCGTCCGGGCCGTCGTCTGGCTGACCTTTCGTGTCGAGAAAGTAATTGGCGTCGGTCGTCAGGAACGATTCTCCGGTTGACACAATCTCTTCCATAGTCCGCGCCAACGTTCTTACTATCCCTTTCGCAAGGAGAATGCCCTCTTCGGCGTTATCCAGTTCATCCAAAACATCGGCTCTGCTTCCTGGTGCCTGCCTACCACGCACAGATTTGAGCATGCGTTGCAGGAGATTTCTGTGTCGTGTTTCCTGAAGCACAGACGGAAGTCAGTCTCATTATTCATCTTTGCTCGATCTTTTATCGTGGAATCAGACTCACAATACCCTCCGTTCTCTTGTACATGTTGTGGAACAAAACCTGCGATTCTCTATGGATTTGGCTGAAGCGAATCCCAAATATGCCCAGGAAGTAGGCGCGAGGCCGCCACATCGTAAGCGTGGAATCGAACATATCGCCCTTGCCGCGGCGTAGTGGATCTGAAAGTTTCACGACGCCAAACGATTCTTCCACATCCCTCTGCTCAGCTTCGTAGCGCGCGATGCTGTCAGGCGTTGGCAAGCCAGTTGTTTCGACTTCATACCAGGTCTCGCAGAACAGAATACCTGTCCACCGATACTGGTCATAGCCGGTTACAAGGCAGCTCATGTGGCTTGAGTGGATGGCGTCGATGCTCTCGCCATCTGTGTTGGAGCCTGCCAAAGCCCGCAAGAACGTAACGTCATCTGTGGATCTCAACGCCCCTTTGTTGTGACCTTTGGCCCGATTGTCTTGCATCAAGGTTCTTGAAGTCCGCCACACTGAGTAGGGAAACGAGAATTCCATAGCAAAAGTCACAGGACCTTCCGTCTAGAACATGTCAGCATCACTACACTGAGTGTGGTGCCCTGCGATTGCATGTGTTTACCGCGAAATGAACGCCAATGTAGGGCCTTGATAAGACATAGTTAAGCAAGAAATCGACTAGGACCCGGTAAAGGGATTCTGGGGCGGATCCTATAATTGCCAGAAGACCCCAACGACTAAGATCAACAGCGTAACTGCAACCTCTATTAGTACCCTTGCTATTATTCTTTTACCCCATTTGCATTATAACAGCTTTACAAAAAGGCAAGTACTTACATGAGACGTCGTTCAGCGTCGATGGTATCAAACTTCTTCTCCGACTTTTCGCTGTAGCGCTAGAGCATATTAGACTTCGTGATTGCCCGTTGGTCGAGACTCTGGAAGAGACTAGTATAATTCACCTTGTTCTGCAATTCGTTCAGTAGCCTAGGCGCCGAAAGACCACCGAGACATGGCCGCGAACAGACCTTGTTCTCTGAGAAGTTGCCATCAATGAGTATAGCGATTTTGCGAGTCGGAATATCGCAATGTCCTTGTTGAAGCTCCAACAGTCTAGCACCATGAAGAAAGGCGACAAGAGGCGCGACGCGAGACCTGTCCGCTGGACAATTTTCTTCCATTGAGAGAGAAAAGATGCCGGCTTCTTCCCCGGGCTCTTCCGGAATTAGAGTCCCATCGGTGAATTCCACATTGGCTGTAGCCCATGGTGAATTCTCCCAGTTCCTCGAAATAGACTGTCGCATGAAGAACCTGTGTGGCCAGAGAAATGGCCCAAGCCTGTCGTGCCCCCCATTCACCTGCCCATCTTTATCCGGGAGCTGGCCATATCTCGCCTCTAATGACAGAGGCTGTGACGAAGCCGGCGAAGTCACGGCTCCAGTGGATGCGCTCATTTCCCAATACAGTGGCATGTGACCTATGGAAGTAAAAAGGTTATGAGGCTGCAGCGGTCTGAAATGCCGCCAGTTTTATTGTAAAAAGCTTCACGCTGCTCCAAGCTGAGTGATAGCCCAGGATGCATGCAACTCTGGACTTCGCTCTCGTCTGCCCGGCCGATGAAGGTTTTTTGAGTTCAAACCCCCCAGGTAGCACACATTAACGAAGCACGGATCGGGGGAATGCTTTTGGAAGGAGCGCCTCTATGCGTACCAGTCCTGGTGATTCCCCTCTTTTGATAATGTGCTTAGAATAGCGATGGTTTCCTGGGCTGCCGTACGACGATGATTACAGCGGTCTGGCGATTGTGTACACTGCTTACTGGGCATCGTGAGCAGCAATTAGCGGCAATGGATAACGACGGCTGTAATACAAAGACACAATCTTAGCATCACACGCAGGAGCCCTCCATACGAGAATGCCGCATTACACACGGACTGCTGTATTCCCTTCTGTATACCTTTTACAGCAGCAAGTGGCAGAGGGGAGACGACTTACGCAAATCTAGAGAAAGACGTTCCTTCCCCGCGGGTGCTGTCAATCAATCGACTATCAGCGTCTTGGCTGAATTATATGTGTCCGTATTTTGCGAGCTCTTGCAAAAGATTGAAGTAAGAATCGAAGAGATATAGAGATCGCAAAGATGTAGGCAAAGTTTACCACATTGTCAGGCGCTTCTCATGCGGGTTATGCGTATTTTCTAGGTCCGCGCCGCCTTTTCAACTTGCCTTTTCTCTGCGAGCAACAGATCCACCGCGTGTCTGTGCTTAGGAAGTTAGTTGGTAGATGCAGATTGAACAGATCAAGTATTCGGCCAGGATTGATGAATACGAGGCGAACGTGACGGGCACATGCGTTTCTCGTTCGACCGAAATTGGAGCTAAGCCGCGATGATGCAGGAAGTTGAGGTGTTGAGCGGGCTGGCATGGCAGTCGTGAAAGTTGAGGGATGATACAGTAAGGTAATAAGGGAAGCCAATTGAGAGCACCGTTCCTCAATGGCTGAAATTCCTAAGCTCGGCCCGTTCTCCCAGCAGCATCTCAGGGGGGTTGGAAGCATTCCAATGCATTCAACTCCCAAATTTCCACCTCGCGACAAACCCTGCTGACAGTCTGAAAAAGATCACATGACCAAGAAGGACTTCGGAAGATCATCGTCATAACCAAAAAGTGGTACATTTTTGTGGTTGAGCCAGCAGGTGTTTCCCGAGTCTTCACATTTGGAATCAATGAATAGACAGAATTGCGAGGGTGACCTACAGACTTGGATGCCCGGCACAAAATTAGTCAGACCTTGATCAGAAATGGTGTCTTATCCCCCAAGAATGCTTGGAGATATCTGGCGCCAACTAATTTGGGATGTCGCTTCTCCGCCGGAGATTTGACATTGGGGCAGCGTTAGTTAGTTTGAAAACCAGAGGTACTTTTCGAATTCAACAATTGTACGGTAGGATTCTATTTTTCGGAGATACATAGAAAAATATACTTGGGGTTAAATTGGAGTTCAGAAAAGCGGGATGCGTGAGACATCCTTTCACAGCCTCAACAACAAGCTGGCAGGCCCGACATCGGATCTGTTGTGTCATCTCCAAGGGAGACACCGAGGAATCAATTCGTCGCACAAGATGTGACGTGAGCGTGGGTAGGACGCTTCTCTGCAATGGGACACAGATTTTCAAAGAGTTGATGGAGGACAGCATCAATATGTTCGGTTAGGATCGATTCGCTGTCGGGATGATCAATTGCCATCTATTTGCATACATCATTGAGAAGGGGGCACCGTCCGAGAGACAAGGTAAGCACGCGTGGGTTCGGGTTGACGCAGGTGCAGTGGACGGATATTCTTGAGGCGGATATAGGCGACCAGGTTAGGAAGATGTTGGCAAGGGTTATCATTCGCGGAAGTGGCTTCGAACTTCAAAGTGCAAGATTAGGCTCCTGCAAAGGTCCCAGGCGCGTCTCATAGATGAGCTAAGAGCTCCGAATCACATGCTCTCCGCACGCTTCGATGTAAGGTATACCATATGTGCATGCCATCGGAAGGGCAACACTTCAAAGGAACCTATGGATCGAAGCCACGATGCGGTCAGGCGTACGCTTCACAATACAGTGTCGACAAATAACTCATTTGAAAGCGTGGTGGAGCATAGCTCAAATAATAGATTGTTGTGCAAAGATCGCCGGCTTCTCCGATGATGCATTTCTCCCTTATGCACACCCCCGACCAGTGTCATGTCGCGCAGACAGGAATGTCTATCAGTATCAAAATAAACATGCGCCTGGGAAGGGCATGCTGGCTCACAGCCACATAATTTTACCATCTTTCGGTTACTTCCATCTCCCATTTCCCCCATTGGTCATGTGACTCGAGCGTAAGACAGAAAGATTCGGTGTCATGTGTTGGCTTACCTACCGTTCAACACGACGTGGAATGCAGCATTTTTCGTACGCCCTATGTTCCGATTCGAGACATATAGGTCAAATGCGGTAGCCGAGAACGGCGCTCACATAATCGGTAGGTCTCCTGAAAAGTACTAAACTGAATGTGCCATGCAGCCAATCCCCACGACGGCATCCTCCACACCCTCCTGGGAATTAGTCCACCACAAAAAACGCCAGGTCGAATCCGACGCGCCTTATCCGCCCCAGATCCCAGTCATCAAACGTGATCACGTTCGGAGAGCAAAGCCTGCACAGCTGCAGAGGACAAATCATCAAAGGGTGCACGGGGGCCACGACCCTTGAAAGCCATGGTACTGTTTCCAATTCTCACTCTCCAAACAACTCTACAAACAATTCTTTGCAAATTCTCCCATAAAATCCACCCAGCCACTGACGGCCCGTTCCACCCATAGCCCCCACGGAAAAAATACGCCTTCGTTTGGACTTGTGTAAGTATTCGCGTTTTGCCCACATCACTTATTTGAGCCTCTTTAGAGCGGCTGAATTTGCGACCCATCGTTCACTCAACACATGATGCTAACATATTTGTGTCAACCATAGTGTTACTGTGGTCAAGGCGGCATGACAGTAGTGGTTGACCCTTGTGTCAACTGTAGATACCCACGGTGCTCACGCTGCGCCATCACAAGGGTGTCGGTACACGTCCGGGCTCCTATGGGAGAATACCACCTAACCCAGGCATCCTCAGTGTCCTCGTAACCCGCGACGTAGTTAGGGGTTTGGTGGAGACCATCAGCTCGGGTAGGAAGTGTTGCTTTACGTAACCACTGTTGAGCTACATTGTTTGCCAAACCCGATCGCGAAAAAAATCAACATCGTGCGATAAATCTCGATTCCGCTTGGATATCGAGTTCATCATACCTCACCGGAATATTCCTGCGTTTATTTACAGCGTCACCAATGAATAAATCAGCCTATTCCACACCTGAAGACTTAACCAGTGAACATTCTCGTTCGTCCGAGCCAGTAGAAAGAGATGCAATGCCCCATGTGGCGTCTTTACTGGCGAGTTTTCTTTGCGGAACGGGTCTCCGTGATAAACTTCCCGTTGTGAACTCTCGGCAAACAGCATATGACTCAGTGATATTCAAAGTTGCAGCCTCAGAAATCAAGCTCGGCTGGCACACATGGTAAGCGTCGTCAGACATCACGCGCACAACTTACTGAAGTGGCCCACTAAATGCAATCCAATCTGCCAGTCACGAGGTGAGGTGGACGATGTTTGTCATAAACTGGCCCAAAGAAGTCTTCACGACGTACTCGCTCCAAAATTGAGCAACGATACAAGAAGCATTGGATGAACCTGTGATTCCGAAGCGTTTGCACGCTGCAACACGAAAGGAGGCATCTCAACATCACATTCCATCATCGCGATGCTTTAGAAGCTGACGAGTTCAGACTCTGACGAAACCTATCCCATCGTTTGCGCTACTTCGATTACTGATCGTGAAGTGATTACTACAGCAATGGCGCAATGCCTTGGTTGGTGGCCGTCGGTCTTCAGAACCATCCTAAGGCACAGGTTACGATTGGTTGTGGGCAACATTTGTCACAAAGCGAGCGTCTAAGTGGAAGACATATACAGTAGAAAGTGGCTTGATTCCTCTAAGTGAGGGACCCTTAAGAGGTTGTATCTAAATACCATACGAGGCGGGCAGTCGTCTCGTAGTAAGCGGTATCGTACGGCAGCGTATGGGCAGCGCCACATGCAGCGTTACGACAACATTCTTATCTTAAGATCTAGTAGAAGGACGGCAAGACCCCATAATTCGTCAGGTGAACTCTCTGCTGGCCAAACAGCCCTGAGTTGAGGTTACTGGTTTGCCCTTACGGTCTGAAACGCATGTAATTTCTCTCACCAGCCAGCCGCAATGAGACAGCTTGTGACCGGAGTCACATTGACAGCTAAGATTGAATACTTGGCGTTATGTGAAAGGAAGGCTAGCTAGACTATTTTGCGGCGCACGATAGACAACTGTCCAGCCGTCAGCTCCCACACAGTTTCGAGAAGGGAGCTGCTCGGGAGTTTGGAAGCTCCTCTTGACATAGGTCAAGTCAGCCTGAGAACAGACAGCATGGTAATGATTACCTGTAAAGACCTCATCACCTAAACGTGTTGGTGTCTCAGCTATATCTCAGTCCAAGGCCGAAGGCAAATTCACGAAGGAGCCTGCAAGAACAGGCGCCGCCTGTCCTCCAGTGTTCCACACGATGGACAAAACAAGCGTCTGTGTGGAGTCGATCTACAGTCATTACGTCCACCACACATGCATGAGTTCGTTCAAGAGAGTGGATCGGGGTGAATTACTTGCAGGCTAATACTCGCAAATAAGTAAGCATCAATATTCTGTTACGACAGATAATTGTTGCATCCTAACATTGAACCGGTCCATATCCGGAACCCTAAACCTTCCAAGTTATCAAGTTGGGCTGGTAATCACTCCGTTTTGCTTACTATCACCTAACACAGCAGATGTCCGTGACGGTAGAAACCCAACCAACGTGAAATTTGTGTTGTCACCAACCTGAACGGTCAAGTTCCATGAACAAATCAGATCATCGCGAAATCAACATCTGAGTTATAGACTGTAGCGCACTTGGTGCCGTTTGCACGGGACGGACGTGTCACTAGTAGATGGGACTTCGATGTTCAATGGACGAAAATCTTCAGATTCGCTGACAGATTCAAGGCAACTCATCCGGACTAGCTAGTACGTGGCTGCATGTATTACACACTCAGGGCGCTATTGACGCTGGATGTTTAGGTAAAGCCCCACGCATTCATGCCGGCATGGGCCCTTTTTCTCTGCAATGTTTGGATTGAGAAATTGAGAATCATGATTTTTGTGTTGCAAGCACTGCGCTGTAACAAGGATTCCTTTGAGGCCGGACTTCCCCAGTTTGCAAGCATTATGTAGTTTTCCTGAAGGGGTTTATATTCTCAGAAGATTTGGTACTAGGACACTGTCCCAGGCCGCCCGATGCTCTGCCCCAATTTTAAGGGGCCAATTCACTGTTTCCTTCGTGATTCAGACCTAACATCCTCCCCAGACACAATCTCGAACCTACCTCCGAGTCTTCAAGTTTCTTCGACAAGCGTCCCACTTAGTTCTGCACAGTTCTACTCCTCTCGACGATCCATCATCCGATGCCAAGAAAGAACCTACTTTAGTAAGGTGCTAGTGATGTTGCAAAAAGCGGGTTGAGACACGTACCATGGCGTGTTCTGCTAAAGAGAAGCTAGTCCGGCTAGTTTAGGAGATTCCCGGCGCCAGGCAAACGCGTCACGACTCACGAAGACAGGCTTATGAGAGAGCCTATCTGGTACACAGAATTCGGGTTCGGGATGGTATAGAGCTGCAAATGGTGTTGTGGGAGGATTGCGCATCGACAGATGCAGATCAGAGCGACGAGGCTTGATGAGATACGGCGAGTAGCCCCTTGGTCTATCTCAGATGCAGGTCCTTGCAAATTTCATCAGCTTGATGCAGGAATGGCGATTGTGTCTGGGCATATCATGTTCCTACCGTCTTGCTATCAGGAGAACTTGATAAGTCTACGTAGTTTGCGGTAAAGTAACAAAGGCTATCTGACTTGTTGATGATCTTCCTGCCGAGAACTTGGGAAGCGCGGTCAACGCCCAGGTCATGTGTACAAGATCAAGATGGATACTTGAGCCGACGGCCCAGTAATAAGTCAACCTTACCCCGAGATGCATGGAAGGTACAGAACACAAAAGTACGGGCCAGTAGAGTCTAGACACTTGATAGTTATGCCGAGCAATTCTTCCCTCGCTGATGCTCGAGGGATGCCCATCTACTAGGTAAGCTGTCGCTATTGAGACAATTTCTTCGATGGGATGTGAGACTGTGAGTTGCCTCTAAATGGCGGAGACCTTCCGCAGCTGCAGTTGATCTACTTACCTTTCGTGCGTATGGAGAAAGCCTTCCTCGGGTCAATGGGACTTCGTCATAGGTACTCTTTCCACTGAATGGAAACAATCAATATTACAATAACATTAACACACGTTAGCTGCGTTAAATCATGAAGCCATAGGAAGCCCCAGCTTATCACCTCATCGGCCTGCGTACTCCACGGCACGCCTTCAGGGGCTGCCGAGACACTTGACCAGATAGCCAACTCCCGCCCACCCGGCGCGGCATTGCCTTGCTGTGAACTTCGAAGAAGCTAATGGCCAACATTGAAAAAGGCCCTCGGCTCTAAAGAGTTCTCATTGGCTACAAGTGCACCAAAGTTGAAGATCTCACATTCGCTTGGCGGCAGGGAGAGTCCATTCGAGCCAGTTCATTGGCAGGTCGAATACCCCTTTTCTTGAAAGCAGCAAAAGCTTCTCTCAGGAGAGCGGAAGCCATAAACCCCCCTTTTTCAGGGATACTATCATATCTGCTTGCCAACAAACACGTCGAGACATAAACTTGTGGTCGAGTTTAATCAATACTGTCAGAAGATGCTAAAGTGCTGTTCTCTCATTTACAGCATCCGGCCTTTTTACAGTACGCGAAATGGCAGGCAGCATAGCGTAGATGAACTGGAATATGTTCTCTCTATCCTCTATCCATAGCCCTCACAGGGGATCAAGTGCCGAGAGTTCATGGCCACGTCTCAAAGTCTCAAGTGCCACGTTGTGTCTTTGTGGTAAGACTTCCAGCACTTTCGGAACTTGGCTTATCTTTCTTTATTACACGGTAATGCCTGAAGTCTTGGAGACCTCGTTCCAAACATTTAGCCGACAGGGCATTGGCTGGATGAACAATTACACCACATGAACAGGGCTCAAGAGTGAGGAATCTCGAAGCTGGCCATGCAGGACCAGGAGATCTCGCTGCAAAATGATCCGAAGAAGAGCTGGTTGCTTATTGTGCGATTAGGCTAGGAACATGGGTGAGCGAGATATTAGTCTCAAATCAGCATCTACATGTTTCTTCATGTAGTTGAATCGGGCCTTTTAGAGAGACGAGAAATAAATGGCTCGTAGATGCCTGCAAAAGGCGTGGAAATGCTTTTCATCGGTATGCTTCGGTATCCTGGCTGTTGCCAATGGACTAGCTGCACTTTGTCAACACCGCACCAACCGCCCTCAACCCGAGGACATGTCTACATTCTCCCTCCACGCAGCCATCGCCATGCGGTAAGATGTCCTCATTTCAGAGTTATCCAGCGATGTTGCAACGTTACTCTGTGGGGTAACTGGGTGAGTAGCGTACGTTTCAACCTCGCCGTTTGCGAATAGGGCAGCCAAGGCTAGTCTAGCCACGCAAGCAACCCCATGAACACGATCGGGATCAGTCCTGAAGCAGGTCAAATTGCCAAGTTGTCCCCACTGACGAATAGGAAGCAGGCCGCGATGCTATTATCTTTACCCCATGATCCTGGTATCCGAAAGTAGTGAGACATTCCCGATCAGAAATGCCGGGTTGATTCCGCGGTCTATAGTTGGGAATGGTCTCTGAACAAAAGCCCGAGTTGCTTCGGTCTGGCCGTGAGGCGTCTCGCCGAGGGAACGGCGAGCGTACGGCGCCCCCAATATCAGGTTTTCCTGGTCTTTGTCGTGTGGACTCGTACTACGTAGTCTGTCAGACGTCAAAGCTTCATCCCGACAAGGCATCATCACGTGGCATGGTCCAAGATCGTCTGCCCAAGGCTGGAGACAATATCCGTGTCTCCCTTGCATATAGGGCGACGCCAATCACTCGCAGAATCAGAGAGAGATGTGGCAGATCAGTGCGAGAGCTGGACTAGTCTTGCTGACTCGCGGTGTGTAGTACCTAACTTGGCACGGCTTGTTTCTTGCAAAGTTGCGGCAGGCGGCTCTATTCGTACGTCTACCAAGGCTACGTTGAGTCTAGTGTAGGTGTCTGGGTGGTTGAAGAATGTGTAGGGTGGATCCGAGCGGTCGTTAGGTCGGTCTCATCTGCGGTACTCAGGCGAATGACACGGTTGAACGAAAAAGAGTTCAGCTGAGCGTTGAAAGAAGATATCGTCGATCAGTGTCCATTTGCGTCGATGAGAAGAAATCGGAGCCAGCTCCGCACTTGCGCGTGCCGGGCCAGTGCTGGGCCAAGAATTAAAGTTCAGCTGTAGTGGACTCTCAATTGTAACCTCCGAAAGGGGCATGGGGGCCAAAAAACTTGGTTTTTCTTTTCTGTTTGGTTCTGCAGTCTGGAGAGATGTCTGAATTTTGCCCGGGTATGTGGGCAAGGCTTCCCAGTTTGTCTTTGTTAACTTCGCTCTCGGCGAACCTCGGCCGCAAGATTCTTCGCTTGGGAAACCAAAGGTGGAAAGGAGCAGAGGATTTCGTAATCAAAGCTTTCTCGGGTCGGGTGCATGGATGCCGTCAGCCGTCAGCAAAGTGGAGACTTCCAGTACTGCAAAAGGTACGCGGGACCCCTGTTCCGGGACCGTGGGGAAATGTTTCTCCCTGGAGGACCCGCTTGAAAGGCAATCAATCTTAGCGTTTCCTTCCTCGGGCCAATCACAGAGCGGAGGGGCACGATCCTCGGAGGCAGCCAATGGCTGGTGGCGACGGAAGCTGCCACAAGTGGGTCTGGGCCCGCACCGTCCTTTGGCCGTGGAGTGGGGCCGCCCAGGGGATCACCGAGGGACCAATTGAGAGGAGCCACAGCCAAAGGACTGAGGAACGACTGAGAAACACCAAGTCAGCCATTCCCCTTTGGGGCGCACGTTTTCTTCTTTGGCTTCCCGCTGCCTGAGCCCTGAGCTGTCAATTGTCATCGCGCTCGTCCGAACTCGTCAATTCATCAGCGACACCCATCAATATTATCACATTTCCTATCTTCCCAGCCGCCATTCCGACAGGGTCCCTCCCGAGGGCCTCGCAAAACTGTCGGTCTGCGCGACGGCTAACATAGATCGCTTCCCGTCGCTAAGTTCGCTTCGCTGCCAAAGTCTTGGTATTGAGAGGGATCAGCATCTCTCATCGCAAAAGAGCCCACGCCAATCCCTACCGGGCCAGCAGTAGGCGGCCACATCCCATCCCATCCCAAGCACCACACACGCACACACGCCAGCCCAACGGCAAAACGGCCAGCCCCCGTCAATGATCTAATTGATCGCCCGCAGCGCTAGGTCTGCAAGTCCGCGGGGGTCAGACCGTAGTCTGCTTATCCTGCCGGGTGCAGGTTTTAACGAGACGACGTCCCCACGCCCAGAGGACTCCATCGTCTGACCCTGACAAGTCGGCATCACGCCGGTTCCAACTCCGTACGCAGTACTCCGTATTCTACCAATATCAATCCCACGATCCCCGCCCATTCAGCCGGCTTCGCTTCAACTAAACGGATCGGGTACCTGAGCGCCCAAAGACATGTTGTGCAGTTTCAGCTGCAATGGTGGAAATTGTAAGACATCCTCCCAACGACTCCATCCCGTCACTCCCGTGAGCAGCTTTTTGAGGCCTCCCCCAAACTAACTGTACGTGTGTGTGAATAGTCGCTCAACGGCGATGGCAGTGATGGTGATGGCCGCGTTGGTTCCGCCCGCGATAACTCGACGGGCGGCGGAACCGTCAGCAAACTGAACGTCGGTTCTGACTCGTCTTCGTTGATGTCGCTCGTCAGCACCCTCGTCCCCGTGCTCATCTACACTGTCGTATGTCTGCTCATATTCTGGGCCCTGCGTCGAAGGAGTCTCCGCGTCTACTCCCCACGCACTATTCTTAGAGACTTTTTCTCTCAGTATGTCATCACCCCATCGTCACCCGTATAGTGATCCGTACAGTATGCTGATTCCACGACAGCGAGCAAAGCGTACAGCTTCCAAAAGGATGGCTCAACTGGGTGAAGCCGTTCTGGACGGTTCCGGATACGGACATCCTGAATCGCTCCTCACTAGATGCCTTCCTCTTCCTTCGATATCTGAAGATACTTACTATGATCTGCTTCGTGGGTATGTGCATGACATGGCCAACGTTGATGACCATTCACGCTACCGGCACCGGTGGGCTTTCACAACTGGACCGCATCACCATAGGCAATGTCCAGAACTCCAAAATGCTCTTTGCCCACGCAATCATTGCGTGGGTCTTTTTCGGTAGATACCCCCTATTCCATAGGATGGCTTCAATATGCTAAACCCCCCTTCAGGATTTATCCTTTTCACAATATACCGTGAATGCATATACTACATTAATCTTCGCCATGCCTACCTTCTATCACCCTACTACTCCAAGCGTCTGTCCTCCAGGACAGTCATGTTCGGCTGTGTCCCACCGAAATACCAGGATGCCGCCCGCATGCGAAAGTTGTTCGGCGACACCGTCAAGAACGTCTGGATCCCCCGGGACACGAGCGACTTGGAACGGCTCGTCAAGGAGCGAGACGAGACGGCGATGCGGTTGGAAAAAGCAGAGATTCGCCTGATCAAGATGGCCAACAAACGGAGGAACAAGCAACTAAAGGCTATTGCCGCCGCCCTACCCTCCCTTCCCGAAACGGTCTCGAGTCCGCCATCAAGCGGAAGTTCAGAACGGTCTGACGACCCCGAGAAGGGATATCCGCATCAAGAGAACACTGCCCTACCCGACGTCAACGGCTCCGTCGCCGCACAGTGGATCGGGGCCAGCGAACGACCGTACCACCGACCCCTGGCCAACTTCTTCCGCCGAGTCGATACGATTAAATGGACGCGCCTGAGGATTAAGGCTCTCACACACCAGATCAACAAGCTGCGACGAGGCTTCCTCAAGGGCGAGGGTCGTCGACTACCCACAGCCTTTGTCGAGTTCTCCTCCCAGGCTGATGCCGAGCGGGCGTATCAGACCCTGGCGCACAACCGCCCGCTGCACATGTCGCCGCGGTATATCGGTATTCGCCCAGACGAAGTGGTCTGGAGCTCCCTTCGGATGCGGTGGTTCGAGCGCATCGCTAGGGACTTCTTGACGCGTGCGTTCATCACGGCCGCTATTGTATTCTGGTCTATCCCGTCCGCCATCGTCGGAACCGTCTCCAACATCAAGTTCCTGTCAGAGACATTCCCCTTCCTGGCATGGATTACGAAGCTGCCTGACCCGGTCACCGGTATCATCAGTGGTTTGCTGCCCGCGTTGGCCTTGTCGTTCCTCATGGCCATCGTGCCTTGGATGCTGCGAGGTGAGTAGCACATTTCGACCCCTTCAATCACCCTGCTGACTTTTGCAAAGGTTGCGCCAGGGTTGCCGGCGTTCCCTCGCTCTCCCTGATCGAACTCTTTGTACAACACGCCTATTTTGCGTTCCAAGTAGTTCAGGTCTTCCTGATCACGACTCTTACATCCGCTGCATCGGCGGCTCTTACACAAGTCCTGAAAGACCCTCCTTCAGCAAAGGACCTGCTGGCCGACAACTTGCCCAAGTCCTCCAACTTTTACATATCCTACATCCTCATCCAGTGCCTAGCTGTCGGTGCTGCGTCTCTGCTGCGAGCATTCGACATCTTCCGCCATCACATCATGGCAAAGGGCTTTGATAACCCTCGTGGACTATTCAGGATCTGGCATAGGGAGCGACCCGTGCATTGGGGTGCCGTCTTCCCCGTCTTCACAAACATGGGCGTCATCGGTAAGCATCGCTGTACTCTTCGCCTACCATTCTTTGATACTGACCTTTACTAGCCATCAGCTACTCCTGCATCGCGCCCGTCGTTCTCGGCTTCGCCGCCGCCGGTCTGTACTGCATCTACCTAGTCTACAAGTACAACCTCCTCTACGTCAGCGACGCCTCCATCGACACTCGCGGCCTCGTATACCCCCGCGCGCTGATGCACCTCCTCGTCGGCCTCTACCTCGCCACAATCTGCCTCGTCGGCCTCTTTGCCCTGCGCGCAGCCTACATCCCCATGGTCCTCATGATCGGCTTCCTCATCTTCACGGCCCTCGTCCACATCTCCCTCCGGGAAGCAATCTTCCCCTTACTCTACAACATCCCCCGCGCCCTCGCGCTCGAGATGGAAGAGCTCGACGGCGGCTTCGTCGCCCCAGACTACCCGCAAGACGACTTCCTCACCGACGCCGACATCACCGCCGCGTACCCAGACTTCTTCGACCCAGGCGAGGAAAACGAGGGCCCGACGCACGAAGTCAACGGCACCCGAGGCATCGAAGGCGCATCAGGCCTCATGGCCTCCGTCCAAGACTGGTCCGCCGGCGCCGTCGCAAAGAAAATGCAAGCCACGGCCGAACAGTACGGTCTCGCGGGTCCCATAGGCTACATAATGCACTGGATCGACCCCGCCCCGGACCCGGACCCCAACTTTGTCCTCCGCTGGCTCCACCCGGGCGTCTTTGACGACTTCTCCACCCTCCGGCGCACCATCCCCGTCGACCTCCCCGATCCGACCGAGACGTACCCCGCGGACTACGCCCGTCGGGCGTACTGGCCGCCCGAGATGGCGTCGCCGACGCCGGTGATTTGGATCCCGCGCGACGCGGCGGGGGTGAGCAAGCAGGAGGTGGAGCACTGTAGCAAGGTTGTCGGGTGTTCTGACGAGGGGGCCGAGTTGAATGCCAAGAACCGGATCGAGGTTGAGCTTGAGAAGGCGCCGTTTTGGGTGCCTCGTGTTTTGTATTAGGGGTTTGTTTTTGACCAAACTTAATGTAGCGTGGCGTTTTGGTGTATTTGTGGTTGGATGATACTCCGTAGAGACATCAGCAAAGTAATATGCTGCCTTTTGGCTCAGATCAAGCGACTTCCGATTTCTAATGCCCGATCTGCACCTTGAAAATCATTTTACCATCTCGTACTTGTGGCATTTGGCCTGTGAAACAGACATGTAGAATCTAGATCTTCTTAACCTCATCCTCAATCACCCGCCACGTCCTCTCCGAAACCATCATCTGCGCCAAATAATTCCCCTCGTGATCTTTCCCCTGGATATAAATCAAGCACGGCGGAAGAAGACTCATTCGCGGGGTATTACACTGCCACACAATCTTCCCCTTCGGCGTCTTCCTCTCCCCCTCCTCCCCTTTCCCTTCATCTCCCGGCCCCTCTTCAGCCTTGACAATCGCAGGACTAAAATCAACCACCTTGTGAAACCTCGCCTTCCCCACATTCGAAACAGACACCACGAACCCATTCGCCTCCGTAAATTGATTCGTGCTTCCGCTCTCCGCGACGGCGGTATATGTAAGTCGAGTCGAGGCGTATACTTGCGCATCAGTAAGTTGAGCCCTTACAGAATTGCGGATCAGCGCGACGGCTTTGCCGAATGGGGCATGTAGGAGACCCGAAGCTGTAGTGTTGGTCCAGTTGTATGCTACCAGATTCGAGACGTGTGCTTCGCCGGGGGGCAGGTCGTCTGAGTGCAGCCGGCCGCGGAGGTCAAGGGCCGTAGAGATGGAGATTGGTTTCGTGGGTTGCGAGGAAGGGATGCGGGAGCAGGCTAGGCGGACGAGGTATGCTGTTAGGATGTCGCCGTCGCTGAGGCGGCCTGTTGTCGTCGGTTCTTCACCTACGGCTGTCGCTATATCTGCTTCGGCACGCTCGCGGAGGCGGAAGAGTGCTGCGGCTGGGATGAAGATGTTTCGCTGGCGGATGCGGTTCGTGAGGAGGTACCACAGCAAGCCGAGCGTGAAGCGCACTTTGCCCCAGCCCGTCAACCTCTTGTGTCCCCATAGGAACGGCTCGTCGTAGCGCTGCTTCTTTGCGGAGGCGACTTTTGCCATTGGGTCAGAGGACGGGTCTGCTAGGGGCGTGACGAGGTCTTGTCTGCCGGCTAGGACGCGGCACCAGTTCTCGACGAGTTCGCGGCGGCCCATGCCGTCTGTGATGCTGTGCGGGTAGGTTATTGTGACGAAGGTTGCGTCGGAGAAGGTTACGATGTGGAGGGTTAGGAGGGGGCGGTCTGTGGTTGTGTAGTCTTTGAAGGTTCTTGGTGCTTCGGGGCCGGCGAGGAGAGGGGTGAGGGTTGAGGGGGTGTCGAGGATGATGGGGAGGTTTGGGGAAGAGTTGCTCGTTTTGTGAGGGAGGAAGAGGGAGGGGATGGTTGAGGATAGAGGGTGACCGGTGACACTGGATGGATTTGGTTCTGTTGTGAAGTGGACCGCTGGGCGAGAGGGCGTGAAGGATTGAGGGATGTGAAGTTCGACTTTGCCGTCTTTCTGATTTGATTGTTAGTTGTAGATACTTCTCAAGTGTCTCTGACAGATAGAGGCTGAGTAGGAGCTTTGGAGCATCGCAAGGACGAGAACTTACCGTTAGTCGCGGCCTTCCGCCCAGCTTCTTCCAGTTGCCGATGGTGAGAAGCTCTGAGAGCGAGGCGTGGAGCATGGCAGGGTCAAGAACGTCGCGGAAGCACATGCTCCAGCTCATGACCATCATGCGCATCATCCAGGAACTGTCCATGGCGGAGAGCTGGACCACGGTGTCTGTGGGGATCCGGTCCGGTTGGCGGGGCTCGGGGCCCAGGATCGGGTTGAGCAGAGGCCGGAGAAACGGCATGACTGGAGTCTGGGTATGAGTCTCTGGCTGAGTATTAATGCTGAAGGTGAGAGGCAGATCAAGGCTCGACCTGAAACCTGCAAGAATGGTGGCTAGAGTTGAGGTTATTAGATCGGTGATGATGTTGGCGGGCTGCTGCGGAAAGCCCCAAGAGACGAACACAAGGGATGAACCTCGGTCGTCCCAAATTCCATTGGAGTGCAAACGACATCGTTCGGACAGGGACATGCCCTGTCGACGGAAAGCTTATACTGGTGATAGCCGTTGTCAATGATATGGGGTGGCAGGGTCTGACTCGTGAAGGGAGAGATAACCTACAGATAAGGTCAATTTAAATGAAGAGCTCGTGGGGCGGTGAGATGAATGGGTTTGAAACTAAATCGACCATCCGTATTGACGAGTGGGAATTGGAGATAGACCATAGAAGTCGACGAATTCAAAAGCGGTGCTTTCGAGATAGGCTAAGTATGACATCCCACTGCCAAGACATGGAGTTCGGTTGTCTGGCTTGAACTTTGTCCCTACTATCTCGAATACTGAGACCAGAACTGCTTGGGAGCTACTACCTATCGCTGTGTTAGCAGAGAAACGTAGAGAAATTTGGGCAACATGCCAATCACCATCGAACCCCTCCATCCCACCTTCGCAGCAGAGATCCGTGGGGTAGACTTCTCCAAGCCGCTGACAGAAGACGTCTTCCAAGAAATCCAAGCTGCCATCACAAAGGTCTGCATTAACAACTTTTCCATAATCATTCAGACTTGTTGCTAATCATTCGAGGTGTAGTATGGAGTCCTAGTATTCCCAGCAACAGGCCTAGACGACAAACGCCACGTCGCCTTCGCCAGCCTCTTCGGCGAACTCGAACGCCGCAAAGACACCGGCGGGCCTTCGCGGATGAGTCTGCCCGAGTTGACGGACCAGGGTAACGTCGACGCCAACGGCAACGTCATCAGTTCTCAAGATCCGCGTGCCCAGATCAGCAAGGTATGTCTTTCCCAACTTGTGTCGAACTAAGCGGGGTCTCGGGAGGGAGCACCATCTCTGACTTTTGGGCAGGGAAATACGCTCTTCCATGTCGACAGCAGCTTCAACGCCCAGAGAGCAAGCTACTCAGTCCTCTTGGCCCACGAGGTTCCCCCTTTGGAGGCGGGTGGCAATACCGACTTCGCCGATACGCGGGCGGCGTGGGATGGGCTCCCCGAGGAGTGGAAGCAGGAACTCATTTCCAAGGATTATGTCGCCGGCCATTCGTTCTGGTATTCCCGCAAAAAGGCGTGTCCAGACTTCTTTACGAAGCTCGAGCCGGCGAAGCATCCAATGTCTAAACACAAGATCGCCCAGCTCCATGAGGCCAGCGGAAGGATGAACCTGTTTGTGCCGTCGCACTGTCACCACATTGAAGGTCTCGATGGTGATGAAGGGAGGGAGAAGCTGGAGTACCTTTACCACCACGCCACGCAGGACAAGTTTATGGTTTCTGTTCCGTGGAAGCAAGTGGGTGATTTGGTCATGTGGGATAACACTTGTACTCTCCATCGAGGGACGCCAGTGGTCGGAGGCCATAGGAGGGATATGAGGAGGGCGACGGTGCTGGATGGCAGCCAGGAGGCTTGGGGCCTGAACGAGAAGGTAGAGAGGGACTTTGCGTTTGCGGGTGAAGTTATGGCCGACGTGTTTCGATGTTTGTCTGGTTGATATCTTGCGATGGGGTCAAGTAGTCGGAGGATAGTTCAACTCTCTGCTTTCGTGGAGAAGAAGTTGCTCTTCAGCAGAACTGTGTTCAATCAGCAAATCGTCCGTTGCTCAGTTCAATATTGACTTACTTTCAGACGAACAGAAGAAGCCTTTCTGAGTCTCTTCAACTCTCCACAACCTAGCCAGTCTTTGATATCAAAGACTTTGCAGCAACTCAGGCTGCAAGTATGTCGACCAAATCCAACATAGCCTGCTCCATTCCAACAAAGCAATGCACTGCCTACTTGATTCGAGGATTGCTTCCTTGTCATTCTTTTGCCGGGTCCCTCCAATACTTCAAGACTGTGTCCCCGCCTCCCGTCCAAGTGCCCCGTCCCGTCAACACTTAGTTACCACAACTCACCTCAACCCCCCAACCCGGGCACGGGAAGAGAGTACTTGAAGTCCCCGTCCTCGATAGGCAGCCTCTTGAAAGGCTCTTTCCGTTTAGTTTGACCGCCCATCACGTGGTCATCGACCTCTGAGTGGCTCAAAGGGGGTTGTTTCCTCCCGTTTTCGAGGCATCGCGATGAAGAAAGAGGCAGGCTCTGCCCGGAAGGGAAGCAAAGCAGAGAAGGACCCCCAAGGCACCTCGCCCTTTCTCTCAAACTTCACCTGGCGTTTCCTCCTTGCCTCTTTGTCACTCTAGAATTTCATCATTCCATCTTCGGTGCACCTCAAACGCCTTTCACTCTTCCCCCATCATCAACAACTTCCTCTACTCTCTTTTCCTCAATCCTCCATCGCATCACGCGGCAGCCAAGCCTCCAAGACACCATGACTGACACCGCGAACTCGATCATTTATGACGATCTAGTTGCCAAGATCAAAGCCGCTGTCGCCCAGAAGCTCGCCGAAAACGAGTCGGCCCCTGATGCTCCTCGCTCTGTCATTGTACAGCGCAAATTCATCAAGATCAAGATGAACCGTCACAACCTCGATACCATGCCCAACGAGGTCCTCGGGATGATCACTACGCTCTGCCATGATCACGCGGGCGGAGGCCGCGAGAACCTTCGCAACCTCTGCCTCGTGAGCAAGCGCATCCACGACATTGCGCGTCGCGAGTTGTACTTTATTACTCCAATCCAGACTCCCCACCAGCTTGCCTGCATTGTCAGAACCCTCATCGAGCAGCCTTCTACCCGAAAGCTCATCCATGACGTGCTCATCAGCATCGACACGAACAGCTTCACCGGCAAGAATCCGACGGCTTCCTTTTACCGCCAGTTCTCGTTCACTCAGCTTGATGACTCCAAGCTTTCGGCGCGTGATCGCCAGCTTCTTGTCCTCTGCAAGGCTACCTGCGGCACCAAGGCCCCCGAGAACCTCCAGTGTATTCTGGGTCTCTTCATGTTCCTTTTGGAGAACACTCACCACGTCACGATCCGCGCCGACAACTACCTCTCCATTGCCGACCGCTTTCTGACTGCTGGTCTATGCATTCTTGCGCCCAATTCGTCCAACAACCTCGACTACTCGCCTCTGTTCCCTTCCCTGGCGAGCTTGGACTTGATCAGCAAGACCTGGCTCCAGAGATCCAGCCAGACCTTCTTCGGCAAGGTCTTTCAGCCCACCTTGGCCCTTGCGGCTTCTTCGCCTCTGCTCGTCGATTTCGGTTTCAAGGGACCCGAGGGCGAGCTGACCAGCGTTCTCATGCACTGTGGTTCTGACGTCAAGTTCCCCTTCAAGAAGCTCTTGTTGCGTGGTAGCGACTGGACCGCCTCGAGCCTTTGCGTTCTACTCCGCCGTTGCCCCAAGGTTGAGCATCTCGAAGTCGAGACGATCCCCGACAAAGCCAACCACTTGATTGGACAGAACATCAACAGAGTCTTGCCCAAGTATTGCCCCGAGCTCCGAGTCCTGTCAATCCGCTTCTTCGGAAACAAGGAAGACTTCTTCGGTCCCCGTCTTACCCTGACCTGCCTTCCCAAGATGGACAACCTTAGAGAGCTTCGCATTGAGATCGATGCTTTCGTTCGCGAGGCCCAGTACCTCGGCGACCTCGACCTTGCCGAGAAGCTTCCTGACAGACTGGAGAAGCTCTTCCTGGATGCTTCATCCGTCAAGTTCCCGGGTAAAGTCACGTCCAAGACCCCCGCGGTTCTTGCGCACAAGGAGCACGTGAAGAGAATCATCGAAGATCTCTGCGAGACTCGCGCGGAGGAGATTCCTCTTCCTCGCCTCGATACCATCGCCATCGGCTGCAAGTACAGTAAGCCGAAGCAGTGGACCAGAGTCGCCAATGACACCATGGCTGACACCGATGCCAAGCTCCGGGTCTACACTGCCGCCGACGCCAAGACCTTGTGGGCCAAGTCTTTCGACCAGATGAACGTTTGAATGGTATTAAGACCACACCGATGAAGACATGGCAGCTATGGTTTGGCAGGGGGTATCATGACGACACTCTGTGCAAAGGAAGCTGGCATCAATAAGGGTGGAGGTCCAAAAGGAGAACACAGATGGCTATGGTGACTGCTGTGAAAGCTGGATAAACAAGTCTGGAGGCCGGGATGGGGAATGGGGCCCGATTTGTGTACTCTCGCGGGTATTTAGCTTTAGCAGTCCAATACTTTGGCCATGACTTCTCTTGACAGGCTCCAAGCCGATGATAGTTCTCCCAGCATCTGGATCAGATACTGGCTCTCTTCTGTGATGTTGAATGCCTTGGCTGAGCGGCTCGCTTGGACAGCGCCGTATACAAACACGAGTGGTGCATGTTGAAGCCCATACTGACTTCGATAAGTGCGTACCAGGGAAGTGATGTGCTGCGCGGATGTGACGCAGTAAGACTGCGGCTTTTCGTCCGCGTCGCTTCCCCGGGATGCAATGGCCTGATCATAGTTCAAGGCGATGCGAGCACTGTGGAATTGGAGGCTAATTCATATCTTTAGAAGTGAACAGGGTCACACATCATGGAAGGCCGACATACTGCAACGCCAATACTCCTGGTATTGTCTTCGATGACGATCCACCCCATTTTTGCCATTTTGCAAAATCGGGCAGCGATTCGCGCCACCGGTTGAGGTCTAGGTTTAGATTATCGAAGCAGACTCGCCGACCGAGGTCGTCTAGGTTGGAGCGCGGAGAGAAGAGCGTCGACATCATTCTCTCGATGATTCGCGATAAGCGGATCTGTTCGTGGAGGTATGGGATCATGGAGCTCGCTTGCGCGGATTCTCTGTATTCTTCGTCGAAGCCTACGGGGCGCCAGAGACTCATTTCGGGGGGTTCTCTGGGATCGACATTAACAGACTACATCTTTTGTACGAGGACGGGAGGCGGAGACGAGGGTGAAGGAGAGGGCGTCACAAACGGCAGCGTTTCCATGGGTTGGACCTCGGCGTCATCGTAGACTAAGTACACGGGCCGGCCGAGGATCAGACTGATGAGCTTGTCGGAGATGTAGCAGCCCCAGTAGATTCTCCTCCGTATCTCGACGTCTTCGTGTGTTGCGAGGGATGAGTCGTGCTGGACCCAGCCTTTGGGGTCTCGTTGGAGGCCGAGATCTTGGGCCATGCGGAAGGCGATTCCTTGGTGAGACGTCTAGTCAGTCTCCTGTCACGAGCGAAGCATTTCGAGAGACTCTCGCTGGGTAGCGCACTCACCAGAGTACCCCCAACCCTTGGACAAATTACCCCTCCCAATCTCGTAGAGCGCAAGACATAGGAACGCCTGGACGGTAGCAACGCTCGGCCTTGTGAGCCCGGTCACCATGATGATGCTCTCCGCCGCGAGGAAAAATCGCTCACTCGAGGCTTTTGTATCTAAGCTGACCAGCGCGCCGAGGGCGCATATAGATAGGAGCAGGGCGGGGGACCAGTATTTTCTGTTATTCCTACCATTGTTGGCATCACACTCACCGTCGTCGTTGCTGAAATGGTCACGGAGAAAGGCCTCGCGGTAGATGAACATGAAGTGCGGATATTGCCAGCGGAAGAACTGGGTTAGGGACTGCAGAACGGCGGGAGAGGATGGGCCGTCGATGCCAAAGTGTTGCATTACAGATTCAAAGTTTGCTTCGATGCCGCCTCCTCGGAGGAGAGCGGTGGTAGTGTTGTCAGGATCCCTTGGGTCTTTGGAGGTGGAAGGGAGGTCGACGCGGAAGATGGAGGTTGCGCCATGGTAGATGAGGGAGCCTTCGAGGCCTAGCTCGAGGTTTGCGCTTGAGCGGGTGTGGATGCCGAGGTGGGATATGTAGTTGCCTGGTGCCAGTGGTGCTCCTTCATCCGTCCGGATCTCTTCTTGAGCTTTGTTAGAACTACTAGGAAGAGAATGGCCCTTTCCCTCTGCAGCTGCCGTGGAGTTGAGCATCTCCTCCCGCTGCTCTGGCGTGGCGACACGGAGAGATTGAACAAACGTCTCGAGCCATGAGATGCGAGACTCGAGGCTCGCGACATACTCGTGAGAGGCCGGGACGCGTTTACGATCTACAGGGCGGTATTCGCAAGGCGTATTAGACGTGCTGCAGTTTTGGCATGGCTCGGTACGGGAGCATTTGAACTGGCGAGATGTCTCAGCGGAGAGTTGGGCAGAGGATTGTAAGTTACTGACTTTTCTGTACTGGCATCTCTTGCAACTGTTCGCTTGCTTAGAAACATGTTTTCTACGGTGAGGCAGACTACAGCTTACGATATCCTCTTGGTGGGTTTAAGAGGTGTTTCCTGATCGTGTGGAGGCATCGTCCAGGCGGAGACAACGCGGGTTCGAGAAGGTTGAGGTTGATGAAGGTGGGAAGTTGAGGGGACGATGGGATGTCGCCGATGCGGGAGGCTCCTCACTGTAATTTTCAGGGCACTTGCGCTAGAACGTTTTCCTCCAGGCCGCTATCGCCTTTCTGGCTCTGGAGGTCAATATTTCAAGGGCTGCGACATTCAACAGGAAAGAAGTCATCAGAGATCATCATGGAAGACTGTCTGCATACTTATTTCATTAGAATATTGTCAATCGAGAATCAAGGCTGTCGGTTTGTCTCTTTCATCATCCCCTTTGACCGCGCATCACTAACACGGTGGAATGCCGCTTTCAAGCCCTGTCCGAATCACCGCCATCAATCTCTCGACATCTTCCAGATTGCTATAGAAGCCAAAAGAGACTCTGATGCCAGTCCTAAACTTTGTCGCTACAATACCTGCTGCCTCCAAGCGTTCAGGCCACCTCGGGTCCTGCAAACGAAGAACATGAAGATGTGGTGCGTGGTGTTTCCTCTCGCTTGGCCCAATGACGCCAACACCCAATTCAGCGCAAGATTGACGCAGCGCGTCTCCAAGACTATACAGACGCTGCTCGAGATTTCTGGGGCCCATCACTTCGAGATAAAACTGGAGAAATGCCCTTGCGGCCACAGCTGAGATAAAGCTCATGTTGGCGTGCTCGTATCTCTTCGCGGTAGGGTGGAAGACGACGGGGCCTTCCGGGACCGCAAAGTCCTCCGAGTCGCCAACACTGCTCACGCCTCCGTAGCCTACAATAGGTGGCACTGGATCCATCTCTTGGATGACTTGTGTATCGACGTACAGCGCCGCGAAGCCAGTTGGCGAGTTGAGGCCCTTGTGCAGGCTGAACGCCGCCGCCGAGACACCCAATTCTTCCACATCGACAGCAGCAAATCCAACTTGTTGCGTAAGGTCCGCGAGAACGTGAATTCCCCGGTGTCGGAACGCCTTGCAGACATCCGCGACATCGTTCCGTTGTCCCGTGTGGAACATGATGGAGCTCAGCCCGATCGCCCTGGTCCTTTCATCGACGTACGGCGCAAAGGTCTTCGCGTCCGCTGCAACTGGGTTCTCCGGGTCTGTGGGGACGAGTCTGACCTCCAGCCCAGCCGAACGCAGTGTCAGCCAGGCGAACGCTTGGTTCGGATGTTCACAGTCGAGAATCACGACGTTGTCGCCTGGTTGGAACTTGAGACCGCGGATGAAGCTTCCCAGGCCTTCGGTGGTGTCCCTGACAAAGGCGATTGTTGATGGGTCTGTGTTGATGTACCTGCCCAGTAGTTCCCTAACTGCCTCGACATCTTCTTTCCAGCGAGATTTTGGAGAGGGTTGATGCAGGACTTCCGAGCAGAAGCGGGAGAGAGCTTCGTTGACGATGAGATTTGAGGGGGGCATGAAGGCTGCGTTGAGGTGTGTTGTCTTGCCGCTGGAGACTAGGGGCACCAGGTGGCGGAAGAGTTCAAAGTCCGGAGCGGTGTACTGATGGGCAGAAGCGGTTTTGTCGATGCTTTTGGAGGTGGGATGTTCAGCATCGAACAGGTCTTGAGTGCTTGAAGGTGCCATGGCTGAAGGTAGTTGCCTGAGACCGAGACGATCGTGATATGGATTCTGACGATGGAGAAGAGAGTTGAGAGGTGCCTTAGAAGACAATGATGGATTCCTCCCGAGAGTAAGTTTCCAGCAGCATTCTGCCTCTTTCTTATATGAATCGCGTCCAAAGCTCACAAAGTCCAGTCATAACACACAATCGATGCTCATTCAGACGACAAAAAGCCTTCTTCGAGACCGCAGGAATCCCGCTCCGGGTCAGTGCCGCCGACTCTCCACAATGGAGTTGCAACTCCATCCAGTCAGGGCGTCGGCTGGCGGCCCACCACTTCCCTTTCCGGCATGCGTCCGGCGATGGCCCGGAGCGGACTTGGAACTCCATGGTGGAGATGGCGAAATCCTCCGGGACGCTACGGGGACACCTGCGATGTCGGCACATGTTGTTATCATACGCAGTGTATCTCAGGTGTTGTCGCATGGCTATATTGTTCGAGCCATGTCGATTGGAACGAAGTCACGCCTTGTGTTGGTCAAATTCCGCTGGGGCTCCAAGGGAATCGTCCAGCTGCCTCCCTCGAGGCCACGACTTCCCACTCTAGAATTCAACAGATGCTTCTTGCTAGTCATCAAGTGAGAGGGTCAGAGCGAAGAATGATGTTCTTTCCACCCGACTAAAGTCTTCTCCAGCCTGTTAAGCGGTCACGATGTGTTCCTCCTTCCGCATTTTACTGGCACCATACAGATGATGAGGAAGGCAGGCATGCAGCGAGAAGGAAACGGTCATCGCAGGTGGAAAGAGGCATCTCATATTCTCTTGCTTGCTTCACTCTACCTCATACCGGCTACCTCCTTGACCGAGCCCAGTCTTGTCCACTCTGCCCATCATCACTTCTCTCACTTCTGTACTCCCCGACGAAATCTCCCGCTCGACAGAACACCCGTCTACCAGCATCCAAATACAAAACACGACAACTGCAGTCTTTTCTAGACCCTCTCATCGATTGATGGCCTTTCGAAAAGACGCTCGTCAACAGTCGATCATCCCATCATCAAACTCGGACTTCCTCACCCCCGACGTCTTAGCGGTCCGACAACAAGAAGCACATCTACAACGGATACATGGCCACTAGACACCAAAGCCATGGCGGGCGCTACTTTCTCGTCACTGCCGAACGAGCTCATTACAATGATTTCCCACCACTGCGCAGACGCCTACCCTCTCTGTCTCGTAAACCAGAGAACACTCCCGTTAGCTCAACAGGGTTTATATCACACCATCAAGCTCCCGCACACTCATTACAATCAAGTAGTACTTCTCGTCCGAACGTTGGTTGAAACCCCACATCTGCGTCGCTTGATCCGCGAAGTCGACATTTCATTAGGCCCGGGCGCTTACTACGACCGAAGCAAGATGGAAACGCGTGAGATTCTTGACAAGTGGCATAAGTCTATACTCGACGAAAGCAAGCTCTCGGATGCTGAGGGACATATCCTGCTATTATGCAGACAGCACGCGGCGATGAGTCGATTAGACCTTTCAATCATTATGGGGTTACTGATTGGTCTGTTGCTCTGTTTTGTTCCCAGGATTTACTCCCTCGCAATTTCTCAGGTGCAAGACAACAATCCCGCTTCCCATAGATTACAAACAATAGGATTGCGGACAATGCTGTTGGTCGCCATTTCAACGTACTCCGTCGAAGGCATGAAGCGGAGAGTCTGCCCAGAACTCAAGTGGCTTGTCTTGCTCCCTAGCTCGACACACTTCGAGAATTTTTATTCTTTTGGCGCAGGGTTCAAACTCTTGGAATACTTCGTCGCCCATCCGACTCTTGAGGCAGTTGTTTCCTCGTACGATTTTGGCAATTGGGGTCTATCCGGCCCTCTCAGTAGTGGAACATCTCTTTCCATGACGCAACTCATCCTTCGGCCCACGGGCATGAATGCCACTACTCTCAGCAGGGCCCTGAGTCGATTCCCGAAGCTCACGCATCTCTTTGTCGAATTCGATTCTCTGAGTTCCAATGGCGGCTTAGTAATAAGGGACCAGTTGGGCCACACGATTACGGAATGTTGTCCCTGCATCGAGCATTTGAGCCTAAGGTTTCCTGAGCAGGGGATAAACAAGTTCTTTGGCCAGAACCCTACTCTAGAGATTCACTCTCTGATAAGCAGCACGTGGAACCTGTCTGGCCTGGAAGTATTCCGCAGCAGAATCGCGATGTACTACTCGCTCCTTGAGGGACTGGATGAACGCGCTGCGTTGCTCAGATACTGGGTGCCCCGGCAAGCGAGGTTGCTTCTCTTAGATACCACAGACACCGGAGAGGACATGACAGGCGCACCTTACTTTGAAGGTGTGAAATCTCTTGTCCTCTCTCTCTGCCGGGCACGTCAGGTGGGACAGCTTCGCTTCGGAACCGTGGCCGTCAGTGTCCACGTTGGAGGTAACATTGACTGGCATGAAGTCGTTCAAGAGGCCAGGAAGCATGGAGCCGGAACTGACTTCCGGCTAATGGTTGTCTTCTTTCCTGCGATGCGTCAGGCTTTCTGGGCGTCCAATTGGAGAGAAATTTGGAGAGAAGAGATTGATATTCCTGCTCGACTGTCAAAGCAAGGCCAGCAACAGCGTGCAATCGTTGATTCGGGATGATAATCCGGAGGTCTCTGGACAGAAACATTGGGTGTGGGTTTATGGCATTAACTTCAGTAGACAAAGGTCAAGCTAATCACTTGTGCAAGAAGCATTAGGATAACGCAAATGATGCATTCTGATTCATTGAGATATCCCAATCGCCTCTTGTTTCTGATGAACGTTGTCGCTCCACTTGCGGCAGAATAGATGCCACTCACACGTCGTGTCGCAGCTGCTCTGCGTGGTGTCTGATGTTGAGAAGCAACGTAGCCCCAGCATCGTTTGGCGGACTTGCGTGACAATCCCATGCGACCTACTTTACACGTTTGCGGGATGGCTTGGCCGAGCGGCCCGTCCTCGCCTATTGGGATTGTTCTGGTCCTCTGACAGATTTTGTAATAACTTGATGCCATCACGTCTAAGGTAAACGTTCAATCGTGGTGGAGATTCTCGACTTTCCCAAAGCCCCTTAACGCCGATGGACCACGTGACCGGATTTGCCGACAAGTTCCGAGCTTCCGGTGCCCGTGCGTCGATGTCATCCGTTCCGACATCAGCCGATCGTTGCCCGAAGCGGTCATCAACGTCTTGCTGCAGCGTCTCTGATGTAGACTCTCACACGGCCTTCAATGATGGCGGGTCACGGCGCAATACTGTCGGAAGCGTGTACGCATACGCTACGCTCCATTTGTTGGAAAGGTCTCATCTCGTCAGTCTTCATCGGGCCTGACTAGAGCGGTCAGGAAAGTTCGCCTCCTACCGACATCATCCGCCGTCGGACGCATGGCCTAGCAGCTTTCGCACCTGGCACCAAAAGAGAACGGCGCCGCTCAAAGCCTCGAAATCGCTAGCATCGTGACTAAGAAAACACTCCGACGCGGTTGGCGGCACCAGTCAACAGGAAAAGGTGGTTGGGACGGGAACAGGGCAGGTCCAGCACTGCAGCAGCAACTCTAGGACTCGGTACACACGCAGGAGGGTCAATGCACCCAGGGTGTTAGAGCCGTGGGGTTCGCCGTCTGAGTGGTGGGGTTTGTCTCCTCCTGGCTGGTCGCTAACTTGCTGAAGAAGCGGTGATGAAGAACGGCCGAGTGATGGAGAAGAACCGAAGAACGCACAAGAGAGACGTGAGACCGTCGATAGGTGACTCCGTCATACCGTCCAGGCAGGCGACGATCAATCGCAGAATTGCCCGATCATGCGCGCATCTCGGACTTGAAATTGATAACGGCACAAATGCCTCGAGGGCCAAGGGTCTCAGCTACATCGGTACATCGCAGAGCGAGTGGTGAAGATTCACGCAGAAAGGCCGCAACTCGAGACAGCCACACACACACCGCAGGCGCAGAGTGACAGGACAGACGTCACAGCCACAGATACCCCTCACTCGCCCTTCCATCATAGTGCTACAGAAAGGGCCCTCCATCAGCGTTGGCGCTGCGCTTGGGGCAGCTTACAGCGGTTTACGGGCAGGCAGAGGATGGGATACCCCTCCTCGCCACGAGTGCGTCCGACGTCAGCCGCCAGGACAAAGATTCAGGGTCCTGCCTGAATGAGGACCGTTTGCTATCGTCGTCATACCGTTATCTCTGCCAGTCTCTCGATGCCCGTCTGTCTCGCAGTACCACAATCCCCCAGAGCAACTTCTGGAACTTGCGACTGGATGCCACGGGATGCCTACCTGCTTCGGCAACATCTCAAGAGATACGAATCTCATCTCATCATCTTGCCAGGGTCAGCTGCAAACGATGCATTGAGGAACAAATGGCCGAATCCTAGCGCCTCCCGCACAAAAGACGCAACCCACCTGAACCTTATCCGGCAACGATGCGTTGAGATAAGAAAAGGTTGACAATTGGGAAGCATCACAGTGGTCTTTGACCCTGTCTTGCCCGTCAGCCAGGATTGGTTTGGGCGGCCGAGGCGATTCGCGCGGCGCAAAAAAGGGCAAAAAGACCTCCCCCAAACCAACTCAACCCCCCCATGGGCCATTCCATGGACATCCATGCCGGGCCAAGTTCCAGCCCCGAAAGAAAAGGAGGACGACTGGCTACCGTCAACGCACAAAGAGCGCAAACCCCACCGAGGCACCCCTCGCCAACAGGTCGCCAGTCCCGAGCCACGACGCTGGCTTGACTTGGACTGCGTTTCCGCACAAACGGCGCACCCGCCCAATGACGGCCCCCCGATCCGGTCCCATCTGGCCACCCTCATCTGACATCTAACCCCTCCTCCTGCTACTCTCAGTGTCCCCTCCCTCTGGTTGACTATCCGAGCTGCTAGGAGGAGGCTCTGGATATATAAGTGCGCGGCTTCTTACCTCTCTTCTCCCGTCTCTGATCTGATCTCCACAACGTCAACATCCAAGTCCATCACGTCAACTACAACAACAACACCTTTTTAATCCCCCAAAACCAACCAACAACCATCAAAATGAAGGGTGACTGCGGCTGCTCCGGCGCTTCTACCTGTATGTACCTTACTCTCCCCCCTGTAACCGCACCGCGACCGCAACGGCGTTGTCGGCGGTCAGTCATTGGAGACCAAGACGCTAACCTGTCTCAGGCAACTGCGGCTCTGGCTGCTCTTGCTCCTCCTGCAAATAAACGCCTCTTCCCTTGACGACGACCTGTGATACGTTGCTGCTTTACTGCGGTTTCGCTTTCTCTCGATACGACGACGATATGAGTTTTTGAATTCGGGATATGGGTTACGACTTGGTTGATGGGTAGTTTGCATCGGCGGATAGTGTTCCTTCTAATCGATGGACCTATTGGCATGTTTAGTCACTCACTTGAGCAATACATCTTTTGAGACGCCGAATTCTGTTCCGCTGTGGTGATGTTGAATGTACTGTTGTCGCCCTTGATCTTTGCTGGAACTATTCGTTGCCTGGAGGAATTGCTGAAGGATCGTCTTGTCTCCGGAGCAAACATACTCTTCAGTCCTGCAGGCTGGACGACAATCGTCTCTTTATACAACTGCCCAACCCCTCAAGGTGCCAATAGCGTCAACCTTGATCGTCTCATCAAGGTCCCGGCCAAGGCTGTCGAGGTGCCTGTCGCCAAATGTCTCAATCACTCAATCCTCTGTCTGCTTCACCTCCAGTCTTGCCCTCTACCTTGCTTTTCTACCCCTCCAAACTTCTGACCGCTCCTATGATGAATCCGAACCCCGCCCCGCCCCGCCTTGGCTCCCCCCTCGACTGGGACCCCTCCGAAAACCCCCTGAGAGTTGTGCCTTTGGTGCCTGTGTGGTGGCTTTGGTGCTCTGTGCAACCACAAAGAAGATCGTCACCTCAACTCAAAACACACCTCACTTCACCCACGACAACCACAATGGAGTACGTAGTAGCCAATACAAACACGCCTTTGCTACATCTACGACGACATCGTTACGCCAGACCGCCAGCATACACCGGAGACCATCACGCCAGTGGCGTACCATCATGTTCCAGCCCTCTTAAGCTTCCCAGGCTCCTAGCCCAAGAACCCTGGACTAGAAACAGGAACCAGACAGAGAAAGACAGAGAAGAGGGGTCTGAGTTCAGAGTTCTGGCCCGACCCCATGAGGCGATGCCACGAGCGGAACGCATCGGTCCTTGCCGCAGGCCACGGCCTCCGTTCCCCGCCAATACTTCTGTTTTGGTGTTCCTCTCGAGACTCTGATAGGTCGAACCTGCTTTTGCTGGGGGAGCCAAAGAATCCAATGGGCAGAAAAAAGAGTGGTTCCAGGGAAAACCTCATGCCACATGAATGGACGACATGTTCAGAACCCGCGACGCGATGCCTCCACCCTCTGTTCTCCGTGAGCTAGAGAAGCAAGTAACGGGAACCAAGAGGAAGCTTGGTAGCTCTTTCTGTCTCTGTTTTTGTTACAGTGGTGAGAACAAGAGAGGCAGGCCTCTAAGGTCTCATGTCTGGAGCTACTCCAGCGTCATGCTCTCAAGTCTGAAGCACCAAGAGACTACCTACCGGTACTCACCTTCTGCAGCTCTTACGGAGTGGACTTTAGCTAGGTCTCAGATGACAAGCTCTATTCTTGACTTCTCCACTTCCTTCTGTAGCCCAATTGTTTTCAGGAACAGGGGGGAGGAGCTCTGTAGCGCGTTAGTCGTGGCGTGCCGAAGCCGACTTTATGCTTGATTCCGGCCTTTTGTTTACTTTCACTTCAGTTCACTCCCCAGAATTACTCCTCCCACCTACCTCCATTCCCAAATACGCGGGCTTTCAGAGAGGGAGAGGCAACCCACGGATCATGGCAAGTCGCCAAGAACCTCACGCCTCTCGTCTTCAGCCGAAGCAAGCGCGCGGCTGCCTCCCAATTCTTCTGCCCAGACTCTTCCACACTCACGGGCCATGATGCCACGCCCCAAGCTTCAAAGCAGCCTATGTTTCCTTCCCTTTTCCATTCCTGTGTTTATAGAGCAAGACCGCAATGAACCTCAATGTTGTCCTTCTTCCCCCAAGCCAAGAGACAAAAAGCAGGCCGCGTCATCCAACACACCAGAGAAACCTCTCGTGGCCTCTCAGTCGTCCCTGGCTCCCCCGTATCCAAACGTGTCCCAGTTTGTCCCAGTCGCACCCTGCATGAGAGGCGTGTCCCCTCATGTACGCCAAGCGGCCCCCATCGCGAGCCCTCGGCACCCTCGTGCCGGCGGGGTCGAATGGCAAGAAGAAGAAGGGCATCAATAGACTCGAGGCATGGCGTGGGGAGTGCATTAGAAGCATTGAGTAGCTACCTACCTTAGTCTACCAAAGGTGCCAAAGGTAGCTCCTATTACGCCGTGGACTTACTAGGCACTCAATGCCGTACAGCCATACGAAATATCCGTACCCGGCATCGCCGTGACGTGAATGGGAACCAGAGCAGAGCTACCCCTCCATCCATCCCACTTAAGCTCCCACCCCGCCGCCCCTCCATCGCCTAGCCTCACTCTCGCCTCGTCTTGCCCCCCTGCCCAACCAACGAGCTCTCCTGGAAGCTCCCATGCCTACCCCCTCCCCCCTGTCAGCGGAGGAGGCTCTTGGCTCCATGAGCTACGTAGCAAGAATAGCCAGCACCGTGACACCACCTCCCATGGAAACCAGAGGTCACAGGTTACGACATGCTAGGCACAGAAACGAACCGAAGCTATGGGAAGTGAGCAATCCGGATCCAACTGCTTCATGGGCGTGAAGCTAGCTTCTCCCTATAGGGCCAGACTGGCAGGGCCAAGGATGAGCCCAGATATTGCCAATGGCTGAGGGATTCAGCTCTAGGCTCATGGACGAGAACATGAAGCTTCCCTGAGGTTCCCTGAGGTAGAAGCAGGGCGTGGACAGCGATCCCAGCCAAGGAGAAGCTTCCATCGCCAATGGAAACCCGCTCTCCTCGTCTCAAGACCGCCATTTCCCACCTCCACGTGTCTGCAACAGACGACAAAGTACCCAGTGAATACAATGGAGGCCTCTCTCTTCCACAGTTTCACCCCCCTTGCCCCTCCCGAGCTTCCTGCCTGTTCTCCAGCTTGATGTGAATAAGGTTCCAGCCACAAGCAGCTGCCCCGTCACTCCTACCCTCGTCATCCTCCGTCCTGACGACATTCAACATCTATATAAAGCTTTCCCATCCCCCACTCACCCGCAGCTCTTCTTCTTCCCTCTGAATAAACTCAATTCATCTCCTAAAACAACCTCCACAAACAAACATCAGCCAAAATGTCCAACTTCCACCACTCCGCCCAGGACACCCGCGTCGACGACGGCCACATCCTCCGCGCCCGTCTCCAGAACGGCAACGGCGACTTCGTCGACGCCGAGTGCAACCTCAACGACTGCCTCGGCAACGACAACGGCCGTTTCGACTGGGGTGGCCGCGGTATGTCTAAATCCTCCTCTTCCTCTCCTTTGTCCTCGCACTCCCATACACACTCTACATCTCACTGGGGAAACCCGGGCTGCCTCCCTTGACCAGTATCCCCTTCCATGATACGAATCAGCAGATTCACTAACGTGTTCCTTTCCTAGGCTTCGCTGATTCCGCCGAGAGCATCCGCTTCGAGTTCGAGGGCGACCAGCCCATCCTCCGCGCCCGCCTCTTCAACGTTGAGGGCCAGGCCATTGACGCCGACGTGAACCTGTGCGAGCGCCTGTCCAACAACGACGGCAACTTCCACTTTGAGTGTACGTCTTGCACACACTACCCTCATCCTCTCTTTAAGAAAATACGCATCTAACAACGCCTTCTACAGAAACAATTCACAAACGAAAACTTGATATGACGGGAGCGAGGAAGATGGAATGATTGAATGGCATGAAGCGTTTTTTCTTACGGGTGATGGAACGGGATGGGAACTTCCTGTTCTATACCGAACTAAAGTTCGGTCACGTATGACTTAGGTAGCTGATAATTGAGCTACTTACCCTTTTCAGGGTTGAATGAACTTTGCGGTGCTGCTAACGTGAGGAAATGTCGTAGTTGGAATGAGATACAACATCGGATGTTGGCACGTGTTAAGTCAAACCTTCACTCAACCCTTCCGAAAGCAGTTCTGGTAGACACATCATTCATGCTAATCGACTTATCTCTCGTTTCCTCGTAAGATACATCAGAGGGTATGAGTAATCCTCAAAAAGCAAATCCATCCATCCGATCAGAACGCCAAATCAAACAATTCCCAACAGGATATCCTCCCTGCCCCATGGTCAAGCTGAGACCGTATTGCAAACAGGAAAGTCGAAAATGCCACGTCCCAGTTATCCGCCGTCAACAACTGAACAGCTAGTCAGCTGGTGTCGTTTATGCAGTACAACCACTGCCACCACCGTCGCTCCGCTGCCGCTTCGCAGCCTGTTGGCTTTGATCACCTCCTTCTGCATCCTTCTCATCAGCCTTGCGCTTGGTATCCCGGACTGACTCCGCTTGATGCGAGTTCTCAGAGCCCTTAACGATCTGCTCCATGGCCTTCATCTTGGCTATAAGAGAGTTTCTGACCATCTTCGTCGTCTCGTTTTCGACGTCCCGGAGGACAGCGAATCCCATGGAACGGTACTCTGGGCCGTCAAGCCATCCTCGTATCTTTCCCTCTACTAATTTGGGAACGCTGCGGTAGACTCCTCGGATAGCTTCCAAGAGATTCTGGTTGATAGTCGCATCGAGCTTCTTCGTCATCGCAGCTGTGATGGCTTGCCCTTGGGTCGTGCTTGCCTGGGTGGAAGCCACAACGGATTGACTCGCCGTCTGGTGTTCTGCCAGTGAAGCACTTTGCTCTCGAGACTCCGTTTTGACTGGCAGACTGCCGCGTTGCTGAGTATTACTGGAGGAGGCTTGTGACGGTAGGTTTGACGGCGTCAACAGCCCGGATTCCTTTGCTTCGCTCGGACTTCTGACCAATGCGCCATGCTGGGGTAGAGAGCCAGCCTGGACGCCACTCGATTCTCGCCGAGCCTGTCGTTCCAAAGTTCTTTGAGTTTGTATGGGAGCCTGGACAGGAGGCTGCTTCGAGAGGGAGGGTTGGGAACCAGACAGCCCTCCTGACGAGGCTGTGCTCGTTGCTGATCTCGACTCTGGTCTCGCAGCGGGTATCGCTCCCTCTTGTTGAACGCTGCCGCCGCGCTGTCTCTTTGGAATAACAAAGCCGTTGAAGGATGTCTTCGAATCTACTGGTTCGTTGGACATCAGCTGTGCCGCTTGATCTGTGGGGTTCCCAGTTGTTCTCTCGGAAGACAGTCCTTCAGCGACTTCTGAGTCTTGGATCGACAAGGACAGCTTGCTCCATTCCAAGCGAGCGTTCTCGTTCACCATGGCATTCTTTGCCAATGCCTTTGGCTCAGTTCTGGAGCCTCCAAAGGAGGGCTGGCTCCCATATCGATCTGAGCCGCCTCTATTTCCCGTAAAGCGCGCGACGGCGCTGTTAGGAGTAGTACGAGCAGCTGCAGCCTCGTTCTTCTCCTTAAGGGCGTTCTGTTGCAGCAGGAACTCGGAAACAGCCGCGAAGTTGAGCGGTCCCTCCAGATCAATTTGCCCGCGATGGAACGCCCCCAGATTGTCCCTCATGCGTATGCCAGCACTGCTCATCTGCCGAGGTCCTTTCGGAGGCTCATATTTTCTTTGCTCCTTCGAGAGCGACGGGTCGCAGCATTTACGCGCGTCAAAGCCAGCCTCTCTCGCCAGCTCGACGAGCGTCTGGTGCATGCTTCCATGGTTTAGGATCCGGGACACTTCGCAGTCGACAGCGTTGAGGACCTTGATATAGTAATGCTCGTTGGGGTTGGATACGGGATGCCGGAGTGCAGAGTACATGCGTTCCCAGCACTCTTGCTCCGTAAGGAGAGGAAGATCCGTCCTATCAAAGTCCCAGAAGACTGCTTTGAGTTCCTTATCGACTCTTGCCGACTTGTCCGGATACTGCCTGAACACGGGCAGTTTCTGGGACTTTGCCCAGTCCAGCCACCTCTTCATCCTGACGGCCCGGGGCCACCTTTTGAAGTCTGGAGCTGGAGACATTATGTTGACCGATGGGTTGTTAGCGGAAGGGGAAAAGGGTATTCGGGATGATTTACCTGGAAGAATCCTTTTCATTTGCTGATGAGAAGCACGTAAGAAGTGGAAGGGACAGATGAAATTTGTGTGGTCTGGCGCGATAAGATCCGAGGGAAAGTGCCTCAGGGGCAGGTATGGTCAGGAATGATGAGATGAGGTTTTGACAAGAACCGCTTAGGTCTAAACGGCGGCAAGTGATCTGAGAAGAATGGAGGATAATGAGACGCAGTGGGTAAAAAAAAGGAAGGAAATCTGTGAGGGTTGAGAGGCAACGAGAGTGAAAAGGTTGATGTTTCGGGAAAGCTGAGATATTTACCAGGTAGACAAGTGGAGGAAGATGAAATAAGTCATCTTTGTGAAGGGAAGGTGAGGTTGATGGAGAAACATCAGGAAAAGCCCTTGCCACGAAACACACCTCTACCGGTCGAGGGCTGTCTGTTTGTTGGCCGTATGCACTCACTCTGCACGTAGCCGCGTCAAGAACAACGCAGAATGATGATCTCTAGTGTGGACAGACGGGCCCAAAGCGGAAAACAGAGACCATGCACTACACACATCCTAATCATTCTTCATTGATGGGATATGGAAGAGTCAGCAAATAGGGGTATGTAGATAATATCTCGTCCGAGTATGAATTCTAACATTAATTCAACTTGTCTAGATAGAGGCACAGCTGGTGGTATTTTCCAGGCCAGAAGTGAAATCATGGAACCAAGTATTATCAGAGCAAGAATCATTGATATTCCATATGTTACAAAGAGTACAATATCTGTACAAGTCTCCTCTATACCAGACACATTTCCTTCTCCTTTTGGTCTTCCGCCTTTTCTCATCGACATCACCACTACACCCTCTCTCCTTACGCCTTGCCCTGGATCCATGCCCTCTGCACCGGCTTGGCGAGGTGCTTGTGTCCGGTGACGGGCAGGCCTCTCTTCTTGAGCTCCGCCTCGATGACCTTCCAGCGGCCGACCTCGGTCTCCTTATCGATGGGTGTGACGCGGCGGTCGCGGACGCGGACGTTGGGCAGGTCGAGCAGCGCGCCCTGCTGGGCAATGGCCTCAGCGACCTTTGTGGGCTTGGGCGGCTTGACGATGGTGGCGATGAGGTCGCCGACCGTGTTGATCTGCGCGAGCTTGGCGTCGTGGACGCGGTGGCCCGTCAGTTGGAAGACGCGCTTGTGGACCTGTCGCAGCAAGTGTTAAAATGGTTTCGGCCCCTTTTGCTAGTAAGGGGGGAAAGACTTACAGCAAACTTGAATCGTGCGTCCTCGAGAGAAATGCTCTTCCAGGCTTCGCCCCATGCCTCTACCAAGGCTTTCGCCTCGACAGCCTCGACAGCGCCCTCTGAGGTCTGCGCCTCCTGAGCTTCCAGCAAAGGTGCGACGACGCCCTCAATCGCCGCAGCATCACCCTCAAGAGAGACGCTACCATCCTCCCCAATCTTCAATCCCAGCGCCGTCGCCCTGCTGAAGCCCTCCGCATCGCCCCTGGCCCACGCAGCCGTCAACCGGCCCTGCACCTCAGCAGAAGACCCAGCAACAGCAAGCGCCTCAACGACAGCCTGCCTCACGCGCGCAGCGCACACATCGGCATCTGTGACGATCTCACCGGCACTCGCGAAGCCAACGTACTCGCTCTCCCTGCCCCAGCGGCCCTCCTGCTCCCACCACCCTTCAAGCCCACCAATCTCCTCGAGCCCATCAATCGTCTTGGCGGGCACGTAGTCTCCTCCCTCGACCTCCTTCTCCGTCGGCGCCCACACGCGCTTATTCTTGATCTGGTGCGCGAGCCGGCTCTGGGGCTTCTGGCGGCGCTTCTGCTCAGCCCGCTGCGTCTGCTGGCTATCGGCCTCGAAGGCGGCCAGCTCGGCCTCGGCCTCGGCTAGCTCCTGCGCGATGCGCTGCTGGCGGAGAGCCTGGGAGGATTCGGCGGCGTAGGGATCTTCGGGTCCGGGGGCGTCGCCGCCTTTCCAGAGGAACTTGCGGACGCGGCTGGGGGGTGCGGGTGTCGTTGAGAGGGCTCGTGATGCTGTTGCTGAGATGGGGAATGTGGCGGGCGCGGCGCAGGTGCATTGGATCGGGGAGGCTGCCAGCAGGCTTGGCTGCCTGAGACGGGGCACACGGCGCATTGTGGGCGGCAGTGTCGTGGTGTGTCGTGGAGGTAGAAGGTTGGTGATATTACTCTTCCACTCCTGGTACGGGCGAAAGATACAGCACGATGTTCGGTAGGGGGAGCTTCAAAGTCTCCAATTGAACTTTTTTGGATGCTGGGGTTCTGCCGGCGAATCAGAGATAGGGAAGCTTCAGCCACATTTCAGCGAGCGTCTAAGCCACGTCTATGTGGGTCGCGTCCCTGATCCGCTCCGGCTGTGGCTCGTGCGTCCGTCACCTCTCTGACGGCGAGCCAAAGACGGCGACAACTTCACCTACCTCCCGCGCCGTCGCGAGAAACAACCCAGATCCGGTCGGCAGTGGACGCAGCTCGCTACAATGAATCGGATATCAATGATTCTGCTGCTACTATGCGGCTTCGTCGCTCTCGTCAGCGCAAACTGTAAGTCCATCGCAAATGCCAAGTCCTTCTCCCAACACCGAATACAAAGACATACTAACACCCCTCTAAGCAGCACCAACATTCTGCAAATGCACCTGCTTCAAAAACAGCACCATCGTAGCACTGGGCCCCCAAAAAGCAGACGGCGAACCACCAGGCAACGCACCTCCCTCTACCCGCGACACCTCCTCCTCCTCGCTCCTCAACAAGCGCGCCGCCTCCTCCTCCTGCTCGCAATGCACAAAGGCCTTTTGCCTCAGCCGCGGCATCGACTTCTGCAGCAAGGCTAAAGACGAAGACGTTCAGACCATGTGCTTCCAGCGCGACAGCAACAAGGACCGCGTCATTGTGTGGGGGTTCCTGCTAGGCACATCGGGTTTGCTGGGGTGGGCTGTGTTTAAGAGGGCGAATGAGCTGCGGGAGGGGAAGAGGGCGGCTGATGCTGCTGCTGCTTCTGGGGGGAGGGGGGATTATAGTCAGCTTTCGCCTGCGAGGCCGAATTGATACGATTTGATATCTGGCACAAATTGTACTAGGGTTAAGGAAAGGCGTTTGGGTGGGCGTGATTTGGGTTCAGGTTCATGGGTGAGGCTTATGTAGGAATAACACGGGACGGTACAGCATCAAGCTGTTGGCATCACCAAAGTTTACAAAGTTGAAAGAGACCCAAGAAGCCGTTTTGCGAAGCTATCTATCTCTTCAAATTGTCCCCGGCGCCCTCGAGCAACCTAGGACGCATGTATCATGAACCCATGCAACCGTGACTATAAACCGCATAAAAAATCATTTTTCTTGATTTCCTCCCTGGAGCCTTGAAAAATGCAAATGCTATGCATATGGGGTTGGTCTGTTCCATTTCATCCAATCAAAGCCCCTCCATCCCCCTATCTTTCTTTTGGGTGTTTCCTCTCTTTGCTCACAAAATCACAAACTAGTCATTTTTACTAGACGTGACGATTGCTTTACTCCTCTTCAAGGTGGGTAACCTTGTGCGAGTCCTCGTTGCCGTTGGCCGAACCGGCGTTGCGCTCGCGGCGGGCGCGAACGGCGGAGGCGAGGCCCTCGAGGACGTCGACGGTGGAGTCCCAGTCGATGCAGGCGTCGGTGATGGAGACGCCCTTCTTGAGGGCGGCGGGGCCCTCGGCGGGCACCTTTTGGTTGCCCTCGTTGATGTTGGACTCGATCATGACGCCGATGATGGACTTTTCGCCCTCGCGGAGCTGGTCGCCGATGACGGCGGCGACCTTGGGCTGGTTGCGGTGGTCCTTGTTGGAGTTGCCTGTGTGGTGTTAGGGCTTGATATAGGGTGAAAGGTATGGAAAGAAAGAAGTGGGGAACATACCATGAGAGCAGTCAATCATGATGGCCTGCTTCTGGCCCTTCTTGGTGAGCGTGTCCTTTGCCTTTTGGACATTCTCCTTGTCAAAGTTGGGGCCGTGGGAGCCACCGCGGAGGATGACGAAGCCGTGCTCGTTGCCCTTTGTGCGGGTGATGGCGGCGAGGCCTTGCTTGGTGACACCCATGAAGTGGTGCTTCGCAGCCGCGGCACCAATGGCGTCGATGGCGACGCCCAGGTTGCCGTCGGTGCCGTTCTTGAAGCCGACGGGGAAGGACAGGCCGGAGGCGAGCTCGCGGTGGAGCTGGGATTCCGTGGTGCGGGCGCCGATGGCACCAACCGAGATGAAATCGGCGAGGAACTGCGGGGAGATTGTGTCGAGCATCTCGCTGGCGATGGGCATACCCGCAGTCGTGAGATCGCTGAAGAGCTGGCGGGAGATGCGCAGGCCCTTGTTGATCTTGAAGGTGGAGTCGATATCCGGGTCGTTGATGAGGCCCTTCCAGCCGACGGTGGTGCGCGGCTTCTCGAGGTAGGCGCGCATGATGACGCAGAGGTCGGAGGAGAGCTTCGCGGCGAGGGCCTTGAGGCGGGCGCAGTACTCGATTGCTGTGGCAGGGTCGTGGAGGGAGCAGGGGCCGATGATGACGAGGAGACGGTCGTCTTTGCCCATGATGATGTCGACGGCCTCGTTGCGGCCGCGGACGACGGTTTGCAGGGCGGCGTCGGTCATGGGGATCTCGGAGGAGAGAAGGGCGGGAGGGATCAGGGGATCCTGTCCCAGGACTGAGGGTGCGTTAGTCGTTGGTTGAGCATTGTGGTGATGGCTGTGATTGTGGGTTTGCGGCGGTGGTGACGGTGTGAGTGAGTTGAGTGAGATGAGTGAGGTATGACAAGAAGGTATTTGGTGAGAACGACAGTGAGTGAGCCGGGTGCAATTAGAGTGAGATTAAATGCCGAATTATTCAACGACGAGTTTGAGCAAAGTCTTGATGTGAACGAAGATTGCAGCTTGAGATGAAGACCTTGTGTGGGGCAGAGCGGTAGGGGGTCCATGAGTGACATTTCCCAAGGTGGATGGGCTCAATCATCCACCTAATGTTGAAGAGACAGACGAAGAGAAAAAAAAAAGTGACTCACTTCTCACGTCGTCAGCCGCGAGGGGCTCATGCTCAAGGTCGAGACCAGGCATTTTGGCTATGTGTTGATGGGTTTGGGGTATCTTGAAAACTGCAAAATTGAACCAATGTTAGTCAGTGACATTGTTTCTCTCATCTTGAAGCACTGCTAGAGCGATTGGACCCCTCCTCCATCGTCATCGCTGGTGGTGGATGCTGCCCATCGTGAGATTTACCGCGAAAACCACCCACCAACCCCGAAACGGTTCCCCAGATTGAACGAAGAGGTCGATCTCCCGCCGCGTAACGGCAGTGGCATAAAGCCAATCAAGGGTAGGGAAATAAGCTTACACTGGTATTAACAACGGAAAGGAAGAGCGGACGAACAGCCGGTCGCCTATTGGATCTGACGGGGTATCGTGTGGTGAATTCGTTGCTTGAGCCGTCGTTGACCGAGCCTGGAGGAGTGGGAGGATGAATGTTCGTCCACAGGGGAAGGGGAGCGTCCGGTAGTGGCCTTTTTTGGGGGGTGTTGGTCGAAGACTGTGGTGGGCGGTGACTCAGAGAGTGGGTTCGTTTTTTTTTTGTTCAGGTAGAAAATTCAAAAAATAAATGATGAAGCCACTTGAAAAACACTGTTTTCCCCCCGTCCCTTTGTGTGTGTCACTGGTCACTGTGTTTGTGTGGTTTGTGACTGGCGGCGGCGGACGCGGAGCCCTCTGCTTCTTTCGGAGGCAATCCCGCCGGAGAGAGGTCCCAAAGTATCTTCTCTCCTTTACTCTGAACAGGAGGTACCTGATTAGGACAATATCATGATCAATTTGCGTTGAAATGCGCTGTTGGCGCTTCTTGTCCCACGTGTGCCTAGTCTCTTTCTGTCTGGATAATTCTTCACTTCCATCATATGGCGGGGTATCTACTGTGTAACTCTTCCCTTTGCAAGTCACTTTCTGCTATCTTCGTCGTTCCAAAGTGAGGTTGTCCGCACAAATTCTGGGCCCGTCGACGTCACAGATCCAGTCATCTCATTCTCGGCTGACCAGAATTTATCCACGGAATCATGGGCGGAGTGGGTGACGGCAATACGCGACGGTGACGCAGTGAAGAAGACCACGCTATGCTAAACAGTGGGTGAGAGTCAGGAAGCGCCGATGGCGCCGATGGCGGGGCAGAAAAAAATCTTGGAGGGGTATCTGAGTGGGCAGATGCATGCACCAGCACCAGCATACAGCGGAAATATTCTTCCTCTCTTCCCCTTCACCGCTCACAACTCTCCCTCCTGCTTACGATGGCTCCCTCGAGAACTATACAAAAACCCAGATAGTCACATCGAGTCTAATCATGTCAGACGAGAGAAAGAATTGTGTTACATGTGCTTCCTGACGTTGGAGGCCTTGAACAGAGATGAGACGCCGTTAGCGTTAAACGCCCCTCTTTCTTTCTTTCGTAGGGGAAAAAAAAACGAATAGAAAAGAAAGAGTTTTTGTGAGAAATTGACAACATCTCATTGGCCAATTCCCTCGCGGTCTCACCGAGGCCTCACCTCGGTTTGTGGGGTACCGATGCCGGCACTGGACCAAGGTGACCCAAGGTGAGCGTTGCAGGTGCGTCCGCCTGGCGCCGTTACATCCTCCAGCCCCCCCGCGGCCCCGACCCGCCTCACAACGAGGCCGGCGAACCCACTTTCAACCTCCTGCGGGAGGGGCAACTAAAGGACAAGGCTGAAAATGGGACCATGACTTGATACACGTTGTTCTCCGCTGTCGTCTTTCAACTTGCAACGAGAATGCCATGTAAGAGCTCCGTGAACGAGGCTTTGGTTGACCGCAAATAGAGGTGAAACCCACACGCCGTTGGCCCCGGCTCTCTGACGAGACCTTGGAGAGATCGACGTTGGTTCTGGTCACGTTTTGCGGATCAAAGTCTTGGCCTTATTCAAAATAGATTTCCTTCTAGGATGGGTATCTTCATATGCTGGTTTCCGTCAGAATAGGAACTGGTCTAGCCTTCGAGTATAAGTAGGTATACAAATGGAGAGGAAAAAGAACGAGGCTGAAAGATGTGGTGAAGTGATATTTGGCAACCATGCTCAATGTTAGGCGCCCGCAACTTCAAATTTAATGATTACTGGCGAGCGAAGGCTGTCAAATCCTATCAAAACGGTCAAGCTTGTCACTTGTCACTCAAACTTGTCAGGCAGTATGCAACGAGCCGTGGCAGAACACCAACTGCTTTGGGGTACCAGTAAACCGGCGTCTGATCTCGTTCCTCTCAGTCAACCGTGACTCAGCTACCGAGAGCCCAAAGCCCTCAGAAGAACGGACGTACGGCTGTGCGTTCGGCTGGCCCGTCCGACCAGTCTCAATCATTGCCTTTTAGAGTGAACGACTCGTGGGGTTTAGGCGGGGGACCAGCGCCATCTTGTGTGCTCGTCCGGGCGGTTGTTGGCGCACGTTCATGGCCCGGACACGGAAGGATTCTTCATTTTAATTTACCGTATTTTGGCAGATATGTCCAGATTGTATCTACATGTATGTACCACACAAATGGCATCCTGATGGCGGTTACATGCCGTAGCGCCAGAGATCCAGTATGGAACAGCTGTGACAGGCAACTCTGACATGACTTTTAGACAGGTATAAATGGACTCCACGCGGACGTGAGATGTATCATCTTTAAACACAGCAACATCATCAACCAAACACCTTGTCAGGTAGGGTAAGGCCCATCGGGCAGAAGACGGGCCTCACGCTCTGTCTTGGCCACTGCTTTATTCTGCCTTTTGACGCAGGGTCGTGGTAGTACCATCAGTTGGAACCTGCGGCCCTGTGCTGTTCGCCGAAGAGCGAGCCTCTTGGCAATCGAGGTTTGCGGCATGGCTCAGGTCGTGGAACCAGATTTTGCGCAAGTTTGGGCCGATTCGCGTCTTTAGGCTTTTTGAGATTCGCGAGGTGGCCGAAGAGGAAAGGTGCGGCTGGCCTTTTTCGCGCTGGAAGCCTTATTTACTTTCATACCTAGATCGTGACTATGACATCGCGGAAATAGCTACA